GCGGTGCGGCGCTGAGGGCGGCTGGTGGGAGAGGACCCCTACAGGCGGCTGCGGCCGGGACCTCAGCAGCAGCAGCAGCAGCCGCTGCCCGGTCGCAAGCACACGCGCCAACGCCGTAAGGAAACCCGTGATCGCGTGCGCAGTACGCACCTCTACACGCAGATCCGCAAACACCAAAGCCCAGCAGGCATGACATGCACCCCTACCGACTCCTGCCCTACCGCGCAGCCCTTCCATGTTCAACCACCCGCCCCGGCGCCATGGCCCCTTCCCGGCCTTGTCACACGGTTAGTGAGATGCTTGCTCGTCACCCCGCCCCTCACCCCCCCCTGCACCCCACGCACCGGGTCTGCCGAAGCCGCCCTCGTGGGGGTCACAGCCGGGGTGCGACCCAGATGCTGCCCCTGCCCGAGCAGCCGCCTCCAGTAAAGCAGCCTGGTCAGGGGGAGTGGGGTCGTTGTCAGTGAGGAGCTGCGCAGGGAGGAGGGCACGCTACCGGAGTGCTGCGACCGGGGAGCTGCGCCCAGTGGGCGGCCCCGCAGCACCACAGCTATCGGCATCTGGGCGGTCCGGGAGGTTGCGAGGGTCGCAAGCTGCTGGGCCGCAGCCTCACCCCCCCGGCGCTGGATCTCATGTGTGCGGACGTTGGTGCCAGTGCAGTAGCGGTACGGCAGTTAGGGTTTCATGTTGTACGGCAGATCCCCTCGTCGACCGCAGAGCAGCGCCTGACCTACGGTTGCCTCTTGCTCCCTCCCCTCGTGAGGGCACTAGATAGGCGCCACTCAAAGAGGCCTTTACAGCCATGCGCGTCCACCCACCTGCGGCATGCGCACGAGGATCCCTCCCCCCCCCCCTGCCGTACCCACCTTGGGTGTTCCCCCCCTGCCGTACAGCGGGTCCCCCACCAGTGGGTGCCCCAGTGCGGCCATGTGGATCCGGATCTGGTGGGGACGACCCGTCAGGATCTCCACCTGGGGGGGGGGGCGGGGTGAAGGGGGGGGAGGGGTTAGCGTGGGATTGCATGGGGCGCACGGTGAGCGGGCGCATCTCATACCCCAGACGGCTCCTGGCGGCAAGGAAGTTGGGGTCGTGACGAGCTGCACGCCAGGGGGTGCCGTACACGGCGGAGCTCCGCCTCCTCCTGCCGGGCAGCAGCCGGTCACCCGCACCCGCGCCTCACTGCTGTGGAGTGAAGCACCGCAGCCCAGCAGGCTTGCAGCCGCAGCCAGCGACAACCCCCAGCAGCCTCACAACCGGCCTCTGCATGCCGTATGTCCCCATGAGAAGCGCAGACCTCACCCCACCCCGCCCCGCCCCCAACCTGCCTGCATCAACGTCTCCCCTTGCAGCTCCTGCTCCTCACCCTCCTCCTCCTCCCTCCTCCGCTGCCCTCCCGGCAGGGACGACGAAGCACCACCCGCCTCATCACCCCCCGCACCCGCCTCGCGCTTCCCGGCCCCGCCAGCCGCCTCCTCCGCTGCCACCTGCTCCCCTGCTCCCCACCCCCCCAGCCCCGCCGGCCGCCTCTCCAGCACCCTCCACACGCTGAGCGCGTGCTTGCCCCCCGCGCTGGCGGCGAAGAGGCCTCCGTCCACCCCGGGGTGCGGTAGCGGGCCGATGGGCACATCCAAGGTGCCCTGAACAGGGGGGAGGCGGGGGGGAAGAGGAGGGGAAGAGGGGGGGAAGATGAGGGAAGGCCGGAGGTCAAAGTAAGGAGCAGAAGTCACCATGCGTTGGTTGGGCAGGAAGGGAGTGAGTGAAGGCGGGATACCGCGTTGGAGTGGAGGGCGGACAGCAACCGCAGCGGCGGTTCCCGGAGTCCGCCTCCGCAGCCGTGCCGCCAGCAACATGCAGGAGCTGGTGGGGGGTCACCCCGCACATGCGGGGTTGCAGGACACGCTTGCAGAGCGGAAGACAGCAACAGCGCCTCCCCTACCTCATCTTCCCCCCAGGGAGCAGCGCTCTCTTGGCCGCCCCCCCCCCAGCCATCAGCGCATCAGCCACCAGCCCCGCAACTCCCACCACCCCACCATCGTACCACCACACACACACACCCATCTTTCGGCAATCACAGTACGTTTCGCCTCGCGGCCAGTTATTTTAACACACCCCCAGCCCCCTCGCCTACCTCACCCTCCCCCACCAACCCCTGCACCAGTGCCCGGTAGATCTTCCTCAGGGGCGGGGGCGGGGCCGCACCGGGGGACAACACCGCCTGCTCCCCGGCAGTGGCAGCAGCAGCAGTGTCCGGAGCCCCGGCGGCCCCTCCTGCTGCACTTCCTGCCCCCGTTGCACCTCCCGCAATCCCCGCTGCCGCTGCCGCCGCCCGCTCCGTCTTCTCGCTCATCAGCTGCGTGAGGCACCTGCGAGCTGCGGGGCTGCGGGCGCACAGCAGCAGGCCTGGGGGAGGGGGGGATGGGTGGGGGGAGGGCAAAAAATATATATAATGAGACACTGACGAAGCAACTGACGAGCTGTATGACGAGCTGTGGGGGGAGGGCGGGGGGGGGGGGGAAGAGAACGAGGTACCGCTGAGTTCCCACCTGTATGCCGAAAGGGCCCCAGGGTAGGGAGGCGAGGGGGGGTGAAAGCGGCATGGGGATTCGGGCGCATGCAAGACAGCAATGGCTCCGGGTAGGAGGTGGCACCCGGTGAAAGGTGGGAGTTGGTCGAACAGCCGGCTTGTCCCGCTGCTAGGACGCCTAGCCGGGGTAAGCCAGCGGGCAGGGTAGTGCCACCCTGCCCTCCAACCTGCCCCCGCAGCCCTCAGCTCTCAGCCCCTGCCCTCCTCCCCCAGCCGCCTCTGTGGTCCCGCCGTCCCCCACCCACCTCCCCCCCCCTCCCCACCCGCCGCCCACCTGACGTGCCCCTCCCCAGTCGGTGCACCGGTGCCGGCACACCCGCCCCTCCTCCGGGCACACCCGCCCCTCCTCCGGGCACACCCGCCCCTCCTCCGGGCACACCCGCCCCTCCTCCGGGCACACCCGCCCCTCCACCGGCAGGAACTGCGGGGGAGCGGGCGGACCCGGGGGGGCTCCCACCACCACCACCACCCCCGGCACTGGTACCCGCACCACCGCCACCGCCACCGCCACCGCCAGCTGCTGCCGCCGCCCACCGTGTTGCTGCTGGCACCGTAGCCGTTGTCGCCGGCTCCGCTGCTGATGTAGCTGCATGCGCCACTCTGCCCCCCTGCTGCTGCTGCTCCTCCCCCCCCTGCCGCTCCCCCTGCTGCTCCCCCAGGTAGTGTGTCCGCAGCAGGGAGAGGCAGGTGCGCTGGTGGAACAGGGCGGCAGGCAGAACCTGGGGGGAGGAAGACCGCACCGAGCCATAGGAAACCACAGGTTAAGGCAAAGCAATGGGGATAGGAGGCGGCAGGGGGAGGAGGAGGGGGGGGGTAAAAAGAAGAAAACTGAAAACAGTATGACGAGGCTTCACCATGGGTTGCTAGTGGAACCCGGCCCCTCCCACCCCACCCAAAGAAGGCGGGGGAGGGTGGGGTCCTAACACATCTGGACAGCTCTCGTCCGTGGAAGGCGGCTCGCTGCGGCCCTGGCTGCTATGTCATTCCTGGACGGCAGTGGCTCCTCGCGGCGCGCCAGTTGCCCTACCTGCAGGCCGGAGGGCTTGGAGAGCGCTACCTGATTCGGGGGCGGGAGCAGATGGGGGGGAGGCAACAGGCAAGTAATACCAAACACGAAATCATGCAGGGCAAAGGGAAGTGGAGGTGGGGGTAGGGAGTTGGAGTGAGGGGGATAAAAAGCGGAAACTGACGGGCTGGACGACGAGGGGGGGTGGGGACAGAGCTTCCCGGTAGCGCGGAGGTGACGAGTGGGGTTGGCGGTTACAGCAGGCTACATCAAATGGGAGCAAGTAAGAAACCTCTGCTGTTCCTTTTGCACGCCGTCACGCCCAACGCAGGGTTGCCAACGTGTCGCGCATACAGCCGTACGAGCGGCAGCCCTCATGCCGTACATCCACCCAATGTCGTGCATACACACCATGTGTTCGTCCTCGTACAGGATGTCCACGTGGCAGGGGGAGTCGGGTTCACGCCAGGGCAGCCGAGTGTACGACACCACGTCGCCTACCCTGGGGGGGGGAGTTGAGAGCGGGAGGGTTTGGGAGCGGTACATGGAAGAGTATGGTGCTTGGGTAGCAAGGAGGATTTGGATGCACTTCGGGGCCCAATGGCTGTGTAGAAGGCCGGGAGTTAGGGGTCAATGCAGGGCGCGGATGAGATAGAGTTACAGCCGTTCCGGTGGCCCCTCCAACGCAGCAATGCGTACCTTAGGACATGGTTGCCGTCAACCACAGTTACTCCGTTAACCGCGACCTGGCCCCCGGCGATTCTTGCAGCCCACCTGTCGCCAAGGCAACGGGTATGTCGCAACAGCTCAGCATCATCGCTTCGGGGGACCATCCGACGACTGGTAAGACCTACTCCGCTTGGCTGCCTGAAGCTGGGTGCGTTGCACTGTAAAACTGCAGTACTGCAGAGCCAGCATGTTTGCTCTTAATGTAATCACGGAACGTGAAGCCAGTGTTCACATCGGGCCAGCGCATGCAGATCCGCTTGGGTTGCGATAGCATTTCAACTAACAGTCGATAAAGGTGTTAGCTAAACATGTAAGCGATAAGCTATCAGCAATTGTAGGCGCAAACTAAAACTCGCTCCAGAGTTACAGACAAGAGCATAATGAAAAGGAAAAGAGGGAAGTACATAATAATCATAAGCGTACAGACTGGGCCAGTGCCCATCTTCCTACTTCCAACTCAGGTATGGCTTTGGAGCGCGTTTCGGGGCGGATGATCCCTGACCCCTCTTACACAGCAGCGGCGCCAGAATCCTCCTGAACACCAGCAGGTTAACGCGCTTTTGCGGTGGATGGTGTCATTGGCGCATGCAGGTGCGTTGCATCAACTGAGCCACATGCTGACATGCAGGTGTAATGCGGCTCATTCCCCACCCTTGTTCTCCTTGTGAGCTATGGGCCCTAGTGGACCTTGGTCTTACAGTTATGATCATGCAAAGCCGAGTGTAAATAGAGCGAGCCGAGGGATACACGACAAAGTGCGGCACGCACTTCTTCTCAATGCTAATGTACGGTATCTAAACGCAAAAGGCACACATGCAGACATGACATTTTCTCTTACGAAACCAAGCACACAGGCTCTACACCTTACCCCTGGTGGACGTGGCATAGAATACTGCAAGTACGACAGAAGGCGTACGGAAACAAGGCCATCAGCGCTCACGTCCAGTTCTGGGTGCCCTGGTGCGGGGCGCACACGTGACACGTGGCGGACAACCCGATGATAACAATCCGACAACAACCTCGCAATACCTCGAATAAGTGCGACAAGTTATGACCAGTTACGACAAACGCATAAAGCGCAGGCAGCATCATGAGCACGAGTCAATAACAAGTAGCACGCTTTCAGAGTATCACCAACTCTCCTTTAGCCACACTAGTCAAGTGTGACACTTATCCAGAGTCATGTACGGCATCAACGTGTACGGCTCACATGCTCCAGTTGGAAGCAACACCACACCGCATACATACATCCGCTCCATCCACCATGTATCGTGCTGCTACCAGTCTCCGCTACCGCCTATGCGCGCATGCTGGCTGCCTGGCGCAGCTTAGCGAAGCAGCCCAGCATCCCTGAACCAAACATTAAAGCTCGCACGCCTGTCCACCATCCCATACACCGATACGCTGTGTTCACGTGATTAAACATTTTTCTCGTATTCTCCTGTTACAACAGCGCGTCAAATGCGCAGCCTCCTAGTTCGCTAGGTTCCATCCCCAGCTGTCTTACCCTTCAACTCTATCGGGTCACGCGTCGTCCAGCAGATGACGGCGGTGGTGGCGGCTCGCACCAGCGGCACCTGCAGCGGCCTTGGGAGGCGGCGACTGCTTGCGGGTGGTCTGCTTGGGGGGCGGCGGCGAGGACAACGGCGGTGGCGGCGGGGAGGCCGGCTTGGGCAGGCACTTGCCTAGATAGGCTCCTGGCTTGCCATTCTCGGGCAGCCTGCACTCGTACTTCTTGGCAAAGCACTGCTTGGTTGAGCCCAGGGTGCACAGGTCGTTCTTGCGCGCGGTCAGGCAGTCCGTGCCAGAGCAGAAGTAGCACTTGCCCTCGCGTGCGACGGTCTTGCCTAGGCACTCAGCGGCGCACCTGAGCAGTTGGGAGTTGGTTTGGTCAGGGAAGCAAGGGCAGGGGGTGGGGGATACCTATCCACACAGCCAGCTGGTAACAGATAGCGCAATGGCCACACCCCTCCCACTTAGCCTCCCATGACGTTCCTTCCCTTCTTCTTCACATGGGCTCTGCCCCCTTTGCTTCCTCTGCTTCCCCTCAATCATACCCAGCTTTCTCGCCGTTCCTCTCCTCTCCCTCACCTGTTGGGGTATGTCTTCTTGTCAGATGCGCACACCGGCTTGTACGCCAGCGGGCAAGAGGCGCAGCTGGGTCGCGTGGAGTTAGTGGTGGTTGTGCCGTTCGTTGTACCGTTGCCGCCGCCGTTGCCGCTCACGGTGCAGTTGGTGATCAGGTTGCCCGAGGTAGGGTCCACCCAAATGGCCGTACAGGGCTGCAGTGCGGTGCCGCGGTAGGTGGCGGCGCAGGGCTTGGAGACGCATGTCGCCGCGGGGTGGGCGGGGCAGGAGGCGGCGGAGCAGGCGTTGGCGGTGGTGGCGGTGCACATGACGCGAGAGGAGTTGGCGGGGCAGCTGCGGGGTTGGGCGGGAAAGGAAGGGGTGGTTGGGATTGGCGAATGTGTTACATACACCAGTGGTGGTGAAGCATCATAGCTCATAACATTGCACAGTAATGTCAACATACACCGGAATTCTAGCACGCACGGAGCGGTGTAGGAACGTGTCTCGGAAAGGTGGCGTGTGTGACAGACGCGTTGAAAGTCAACTAATCCAGACTTATAGGTCGTTACCGAGTTAATAATAGGATGGGACTCAGAAGGCGGGGTGGGCATGGTAACGGGTGCGGAAGGAGCAACGCAGCGCAGCAGCGGTGTGACTCACGAGTTGATGTCGGTGATGACACCCGGGACAGCCGTGTCGAGTGCGGTGCAGTCCACGCGGTTGCCAGCCTGGTCCACGAAGATCGACTCGCACGGACCCACGGGTCGGCCGCGGTAGGTTCCGTTGGTGCAGTAGCTGGTGATGCAGGTGGCGGAGGGGTTGGCGGGGCAGGAGGCGAGAGAGCAGGCGTCGGCGAGGCACTGCACGGCAGCGGTCGAGTCGCAACTGCGTAGCAGGGGAAGCCAGGACAAGGCAAGGACAAGGCAAACGAAGCGAGGTAAGGCAAGCGCTTAAATGCAAGCAACTTGCGGGAAGGTGGCATGTCACCATTGGATGTTTACGGGAAAACGCAGAGAGCATATGTGTCATGCAAGGGCAGGGAAGTACCAATCTGGTCAGTCATTTAGGTTGCAAGGACTGGCATAAAGCAAGATGACGCTGCACCTAACTACCTAACCTAACATCTAACCAACCTAAGTGTACTTACACAATGCCGTCTGCTGGAGTGGTGCTGTTGCCGCTGTTGTTGCCGCCGTCGCGGCCGGGTACAGTGCAGTCCACACGGTCGCCCGCCTGGTCCACGAAGAGGGCCTGGCACGGACCCACGGGTCGGCCGCGGTAGGTTCCGTTGCCGCAGTAGCTGGCAATGCAGGTGGCGGAGGGGTTGGCGGGGCAGGAGGCTAGAGAGCAGGGATCCGCAAAGCACTGGACGGTGTCGTCAGGTGAGCAGCTGCGACAGGGGGAGGGGGATGGAAGGGGTTAAGGATGTATGGGCAGGTAAGTTAAGCCCGCGGGGTGTCATGAGAGTCCATCAGGCGTGCATTGACGCCGCCTAATGTGGACCTGGAGGCAGCTGCACCAGGGCCTGAACCGTTGACCTGGTCATGCGAGGCATGCTAGGCGAGGCATCCTAGCCTCCTTTTGGAAAACATTCAAGCGTCTTGACCCACATCATGCTTCACGCAAGGCGCGCATGGCACATCTCGTCCCGCTTGCTCGCTACATTACCGACAGTGCGCATGTCCGATAGGCCCCACCCGCCTGCTGGCCCCACCCGCCTGCTGGCCCCACCCGCTCCACCCTCACCTGATGGATGTCCCCTCCCGAGCGCACTCGCCCAGCTGCGACACCCTCACTCCAGCGCAACCCGCCCGGCACTCGTTGCCGTACGTCTTGCCGTCCACTCCGCAAACCGGCGCCCACACGTCAGCGCACACGCACCCCTCGCCCTTGCTGTCATCCGGGAAACAAGGCCCCTCCGCCGCCAACTTGACTCCCGCACAGCCGGCTTCACAGGTGTTGCCGTACGTCTTGCCGTCGTCTCCGCAAACCGGCGCCCACATCTCGGCGCATGCGCACCCCTCGCCCTTGTTGTCGTCGGAGCACGCCCCATCCGAGGCCACCTTGACGCCAGCGCACTCGGCCTCGCAGCTGCTGCTGTACGTCTTGCCATCCACTCCGCAAACGGGCGAGAAGATGAGCGCACACATGCAGCCATCGCCCGGGCTGATGACAGTGTCGCAAGCACCATCCTTGGCGACATTGACTCCCGCACATCCTGCCTCGCAGCCGTTGCTGTACGTCTTCCCGTCGTCTCCGCAAACGGGCTTGTAAATCAGCGCGCACATGCAGCCATCTCCGCTGCTGTTGTCAGGGCAAGCGCCCGCCTGTGCAACCTTGACTCCCGCACAGCCCACCAGGCAGCTGTTATCGTAGGTCTTGCCGTCGGTCCCGCATACCGGCTCGAAGATCTTAGCACACTTGCAAACAGTGCCCGGATCGCCGCCACCGACAGTGCAAGGGCCGTCCGCAGCTACCTTGACGCCCGCACAGCCCGCCTCGCAGCTGTTGCCGTACGTCCTCCCGTCCACTCCGCATACGGGCTCGTACATCAGCGCACACATGCAGCCATCGCCCGCATTGCCGCCTGCCTCCTCGCAAATACCCAGATGCGCGACCGGGTCGTTTTCGCAGTCGGCGGCGCACTTGTTGCCGTACGTTCGGTTGGAGACGGAGCAGACTGGCGCGTAGTTCATGGGGCAGGCGCAGCCGGGTAGAGAGCTGTTGCCGGGTAGAGAGCTGTTGCCGGTGTTGCCAGGGGTGCTGCCGCTGCTGCCGCCGGAGCCGCTGCCGCTGTCCACAACGGCAGCGCCGCAGGTGGCGAGGGAGCCGTCGGGGAGGTGCCAGAGGGCGCTGCAGGGGAGAACCTGCGATACACAGAGATGGTAGGGCGGGCGGGGGGGAGAGGGAAGAAGGCAGCGAAGGTCATGGCGATAAGAGGTGGTGCAACAAGGATGGGTAAGGAAGGGGTCCACGGCTACGTACATGGTTTGCCGTCAAGCCATCTGCGTACATGTAAATAACCTAACCAGATGCTAATGCATTTCCACACACGCCCTGAACCAACCCGGCCTGACCCAGCCCGTAAGCAACCCAACCCTGTCCAGGAGCCCAGCCCAGCCCCCTCGCACCGCGGTTCCATCCGGCAGGGTGGCGTTGCTGCAGTACACCGCCTCGCACACCGCCCCCGTCAGGCCAGCGGCGGGGCAGTCGGAGGACACCAGGGAGCAGGGGTCCACCAGACAGCGTACGACAGCCTCAGGCGGGCAGCTGCATGGGGCACATGGGGCACATGCGGAAGGACAGGGTATGTAGGAGGAGGATGAGGTGGGATGGACGTGGGATTTGTGCCAGCGGTCTTGAGAGGGGATACGGGATGCAGAGGGGCGAGCGTGCAGGTGTGATGTTGGCTGTACGAACCCTGCATGTATAATGAATGGCAGCATTGTAAGCAACTCTGAAGCACTTCTAACAAAGGTTTGCACTCCGACCCAGTTCGACTCAAGCTGATCCATATCAAGCTGAACCGACCCAGATTAGTGCATGTGCACCATACCTGACAGCAGGCTCGGACATGGTCGAGGGGATGCGGCACACAAAGGGGTTCTTCGGGTTCTTGGGGTCCACCCACACTGCCGTACAGGGTTCAACCGCCAGACCGTTAATGGACTGTCCGGTACATGTGTTCTGGAAGCATATGCCGTCGACGGGCGCTCCAGAGCAGGGGCGTTGGCAGGCATTTTGCTTGCATCGCACATTGCCGAGGCACCTGCAAGGCGGCATGGCAAGGAAAAGCCGTACTTTGCCAAAGGAGGAAAGGATTGCAAATTGCACGGTTACAGGAGAGGTTTCTGTCCGGTAGTATGTAGGGTGCCATAAGGGCGTGCGTCGCATTAATGGGGTAGGTTACGCTTGCAACAGTGTATGCGGTTGTTGGGTACGTTAGATATGGCGTTCGGCATTTGGGTCGGGCATTATAGGATTTACCACATCATTCAGTAAGCCAGTAGCAAGCTAAGTATTCTAGTGCATATGGGCGATAGGGAGTAACTTAAGGCTCAGCCGCGTCTACTATGCACCGAGCGCTCCATTGCGCTCTCACCCGGCGAAAGGGTTCAAGTCTACAGCGGTAGCAGCGCCTCCGCTTTCCGTAGGGCCAGGAGCGATGACGGCTCCGATAGCGCCCCCTGTAGACAAGACCACAAGCGAGGGATTTGGGCAGTGACAAGGTAGTTCGAACGGCGCTGTCAGACAGCTAGCATATCCGGCGGTGTGGCGACTCGTCAGAGGCCCAAACATGAAAATTGTGTTTCTTGGGGAATCAGCTCCCGACGATTGGGCGTGGAGAGGCCGACCAGGTCTAACAACAGTCGGTCCCTCCGAGACATTCCGCAATGCGAATTAGGAAAGCGATGTGCAGCACATTTTACCTTGGCAGGTGGCAGTAGATACCAACCCAAGAAGGATTGTCACGTATACAGCAGCACTAGCTGCGCGGACGCACGAATGCCACGCCATAACGAAAGGCACCCGACAGCGCTGGCCGACGGATTGGTGGGAGGCTACAGGACCAGTTGAATAAGCTGTATGATGCCCAGCTAGACGAGAAGATATGTTTCCGAGGGAGGTTGGACGTTGGCGTCAGTAAGAATTGCAAGTTTTATCTTGCCTTCGGGATCCTAACCGCGTAACATAGCATTGTCATTTAGCTTACAGTTGTATAGGCTACCTTTTTATACAGTCATCAGCGGCGTGGCTGTTAGCTCATGCCGTGCGGCTACTCGGCGTACGGGCCGTACGCCGTTGGTAGCTTCGCATCGTACGGACAGAAGCTCAGAAATTTTGCTGCCATGAGTCCCGTAAGTAATATACAGGCGTGGCTATCATGGCCGTATGCTTACCTAAGCCGCGCTGCCATTAAAGCAAGGACTAGTTTTATGTTTTAAGCGTCGCGTTGGCCTGCGCCTGGGCGTGTCTCACCTTGCTATTGCTTGCGCAGAAGCACTCCTCATTTTCGGAAAAATCGTTTCGGCCAAAGTCCATTCCAGGCCATCAAGATTCCTCCACGCTGGTCTTTGTTGGTTATGGTGGGTGGAGGGTTTGCATATGTCGAAGCTTAGTCGCAGAGTCTCTGAGCCTACACGTGACGGGCATTGCAGTCTCGTCGTAAGTGTAAACAGTGGCCTGGTTGCCGTCGGCGTCAATTGCCATTGACTGTACATAACAGCAGACATGCCATGCGTGGTGAGTAAGTAGGGGTTGACCGTGGCCGTGTTAAGCTGGAAGCGTCGCAAGATTGTCAAACGTATGGGATATAGTGCAGCCAGGGAACGCGAAGGGAACGCAGGGAAGGAGTTTGGATACCGGTACCGGAATGGCAGCGCTATTACTGGCAGCAAGACAGGCACACAAGCAAGTGTATGGCTCGGGGACTCGCAGCGTCTGGCAGCACCCCGCAGCCCTCTTTCCTACACCCGAAGGAAGCGGCTTGAAATTTAGGAGGGTAGAATGGCAGCACTAGCTATGAACGGTAACGCCCAAGCCCCAGGCACAATCCTTAAGGCATGCGCGTATTGGGGCAGGGTCTCAGATGAGGCCTAACCATTTGCCCTGGTTGTCAAGAGGTGGCCCGCAATTCAATGGTTAGGTTGGGGCAGAACTATACACGGGGTTGCAGCTTTCCGGTCGACGAATTACGCATGGCCAGCGGCAGGGCCGTCACAACCTGGCGCCCGCCAGTGCCATGTTGAAGTTGTTTGCATGCGTGTTAGGTTTCATTCCGTCTTAGGTGAAGCCCTTGTTATGGTTGCTGTCTATTGGAGCACGGAACCGGTATGAGAATTGGGAGGATGAAAGAGTGAGGCCTAGAGACCGAACCTGCGATTGGGGACGGGAACTTGAGAGAAATGTTCAATTACTGCCAGTAAAGCAATGGCACTCAACCGCCGTGCTTGCGATCCACGTGCGCATGCTTTCTGTTAACCGGCTAAGCACGGCCCGTACTTAGCTTCCTCAGCTAGCCCTAAACCTCTTGGCCCGCAAAAGAGACTCAGTAACAAGTCGCAGGAGGATTATACCTCGCACATTTCTGAGCTTAACCTGCAAGGAACTCCACTTCTGTGCAGCAGCGGACTTCCTTAGAAGAAGCACTTAGAGATGGTGAGGACTACTTTCATAGCAGGGCCCTAATCACTTCTGCGTTTACGCCTGTTCGATGAAAGCTAGCAAACTACCCGGACGTGATGGCGGGAGCATGTTGGGCGCTTTGTTCTAACCCAAGTTCATTCCTGTCAGCTTAATATTTTACCTAGCGATGACATCCTTGCTGCTCTACTTGCTCCAGGGTTGCGGCGCGTCGGTTCCAGATAAGTCTGCTGCTCAGCCTACTCCTAAGCAAGATGCCCCGGCCTTATCGGCAAAGCCACAGACGGTGTACGCTGAGGCTCAACCGGAGGTTGTTTCCGTAGGGACAGGTGCGTCAGGTGCCTGGCCACTGTTGAATGGCGAGACGACCATCCTGCCCATTGCGGTCCTATCATTGCAAGGTCTTTATTAATTGAATACTGGCCGTATAGTACCGGGAGTAATTCTTCGAGCCACGTGTTTTGAGGCGCATATTTAGGAAACATGCCGTTTCCGGTATACATATTTTTCCTGTACAGGTAAAGTCGCCGAACCAGTGGTGGTCGGGTCAGCTCCCGTGTCTGCACCGGCGGATGAAGCTGCAAGGCCCTCAAGTCGCGGCACTGCTGCAGTCAGCGCGGGGACCGTGGTAAGTGGGATTCCTGTCGGCCGCAGGTTTGCATCAGCCGTCACCGCAACAGGCAAAATGGAAATAGTTGCGGGGAAGGTTGCTACTTTCCAAGCGGGAGGCTATTGCCTTAGAGCGAGTGCTCGGGTGGGACAGACGGTTGGGTTATTCGAAAGCTTGCCTTTGCAAATCGGGCACGCCCTTCAGCATTAGTCCAGCAGTCCACAACAAGGCGGGCGCTGTTTCCTTCTAGCTTTGTCCCGTCCTGATACGGCCTGCATGCCCATGCGCAATAGCCCGCGACTCCAGCAACATATCTCGCCCCATTCCCCCATCAGCCGCATGCCCTACGACACATATCTGAACTGATGGTGCCCATAACATGCAGGCGGCCGCTGATGTCAGCGGAGTGGCTGTGGTGGGCGTGGGTGCCGCCGTTGCGAAGGCAATGGTAGCGGAGAAGGGGGACGCCGCCGAGGCTGCCGCAGACAAGAACGCCGCTCCGATGGAGGCTCCTGAGCCAGAGGAGAAGGCTGTTGAGGAGGTACGTGCCGATGTCTTAGGCTAGAAAGCGAGTATAGCAGGTGCAAGTCTGGCAGATGGCATGTCGCCATTGGTGACGTCTCCTTCGTCTTGTTCTTTCCGTCTCATGAAGTGTTGCTTGAGCTGCATGCATGCACATGCTACATTCGTGAGTTGCATGTTTGTCCGATTGCTGGCTGCAAGTCCATTGCAGACCCTAGTTAAGGCTGTGCTTTTCACAACGTTCCCCAGGCCACCCCGGAAGCCCCCGGCGCCGGTGAGGAAGCAGCCCCTGCTGAGCCTGCGAACGATGCAACGGAGACAGCAGCTATCGAGTCGGCGGAGGAGGCCGCTGCCTCTGCTGAGGCTGAGGCGGAAGCCGAGGCCCCCGCTGAGCCGACGCCGGAGGCGGATCAGGAGGCAGTAGAGACTGCTAAGGAGGCGGAGGAGCAGACCAACGTGGAGGATTCGCAGGCGATGGAGGCTGCACAGCAGGAGGTGGAGGCCGGGGAGGAGGCAACCGGAGAGGCGCTGCAGACCCAGCCTGAGGGGGCGGAGGCGGAAGAGGAACCGAAAGTAGAGCAGGCCGGCGGAGAGCAGGATGAACCTGAGCAAGCTGCGGTCGAGGAGCAGTCTGCGGCAGCGGACGATGAGGCTGCAGCTGAAGAGCAGGCGGTGGAGGCTGCCCAAGAGGCGACACAGGTGCGTGGGTTGGTAGGTTAGCGCATAGGTTGCCAGTTCCTAGCTACAGCCCCTGGGTATTGGTCTGCTTTGGTGTTAGCAGCTCAGTCCGGCTGCACGTGAAAGCCTATCCTGCCCCACGCGTTACGATGACCCCATGCATCTCCTTTCCATCCTCCTCGGTGCTGGGCAGGACGTGGAGCCCTTCGCCGCGGCTGAAGCGGAGACCGCAGCTGATGACGCGATTGAGGCACCCGCTATGGATGCGGAGGAGGTGGAGGCACCGACCCAGGATGAGGAGGTCGCGGCGCCGGCGGAGGACGAAGTTGAGGCACCTGCGAAGGAGGAGGAGGTGGAGGCACCGGCACAAGACGAGGAAGTTGAGGCGCCGGCGAAGGAGGAGGAGGTGGAGGCACCGGCGCAGGACGATGAAGTCGAGGCGCCGGCGAAGGATGAGACGGTACCGCTAGAAGCACCCGCCAAGGACGATTGACCAAAGCAGGCTGCCGTGCGTAACGCAGCGGAGGGGTAAGCTACATTGTACAGCACGGTCTGATGAGGCGCCCTCCTACGCTCTTGCGGCGGCGAGGGTGAAGGAAGGCTGGAAATAGAGCCAAGAGAAGATTCGGTGGTTCGCGCATGCGGGGGTGTCATTCGGGGCGGGTATGGGCATGCGTTCGAGATGGACAGGGGAGGCCTAGGAGCGCTTTGTGGGGCTAGCTTACTTAAGGTGGGCTGCCGTCGCTCGTCAGGAACCGAAATACCCATGTTCCACATACAATATGCATGATGCGTGCATGTGAAGCCCTCTCGACACACAGCATTAGTTGACCTCTGGACGATACCGCCATTCGTTGCCGATGTCCAAGCGGCAGGCGCGTGTGTGACTCATACTTCATTACTCATCCCAACGCAGCATGTGTTCAGCTGCCTTACAATTCATGTAGCTGAAGGGGGCGGCAACATGTGTATAGGCCGTGCATGTATAATAATCGTTAGATAGTGCTCATCACGTATCATGTATGTGGGGGCAACCGATGCGTTTCGATGATTACTGGACCGGTCACGAGGTGTCCAGACCAGCCCTTCAAGATGTGTTTTGGGTACGGTTGCGGTTGTGGCACGTTTGTAAAGTGTTACTCATTTGCTGTGCTGAGGCTTCTAAGGGGGCATGGCAGCATGCATGGAGTAAAAATGTTGTTAAATAGTTCCCTTTGCACTTTCTAGTGGTCAACGTGATTAATACGTGGTTATGTCGGGTATGTGGCGTGCTTTCTAACGGCGGGTTTGGACGACGATTGAACTTCTAACCATGTGACGGGTTCGACCTTTTTGGAACCCCTGATGTTGTATGCGTGAGACCCTTTAACGCTGTACTGCAACCGTGGTAGTCCATTCGGCCTGTTGACCATGCCAGAGACTCTACATACCCTCCATGACAGTGTTTTACGTGCGGTACCCCGCTGCACTTATTAAGCTTGGTTGCTTTGGATGTACCCGTGTGACATCTGACTTTCACTTGGGGAGGAGGACAAGCTTCGGGTTTCTGCAATCCTCGTGAACGACATAGAGAGTCGCCGTTAAAGCGGCATCCATTGGATTGCTCAGTTAAGGGGGTCAACTTCACGTGGGCACTAGGGATGTTGCCGTGCAAATCGCAACACAATGGCTTAAAGGTTTTGACCTGCTTGCCAAATTTGTCTTTCCGTGCAATAGCCACAAGGATAAACCTGAGAGGTGTTTACGCAGAAGCAGCTGCAACTACTATGCGTCCAAATCCCCGAACGCCCCTGCATAGCTTCCTATGCTGTGCCGAAAGCCCAGACTTAACGTGTACGCCTCCTTAAAGGACAAAAGGAAAGGGTGATACATCACAACAATAAAGCACGTTGTGTTGACTGCAGAGAAACAGAAAGCCAAGAAGGGTACCAGGGAGCTTGAAGGCGGCAAACATAATGGGAAAGAAGCAAGTAAGAAGTAATATATCATAATGTGGACTTCAACTCAACGTGGAGGCGAGAACAAAGCCGTACAAGGTTGCTTTCCGTGGCGGCTCCCAGCAATGATGCGCATGCGGCGCGCACAACGTTAAGCTTAACAAACTTTAATAGCATACAGCTATTCCTAGGTGTCCAACAGGCAGCGTTCAAATTAAGCCTTGCTCCCCTGGACCTCATCGTCCCCCCGGGAGCTTCTGCCAGGGAGGCCGCAGGGCCAACGGACTTCATACCAACATCACTCAGTAACAGGTCCACACCTTCTCAACGAGCCTGGGCGCTTGCCCAGGCCCGAAGGAGGTTGTGCCAGCTGGGCATCAGGGATAACGCTGAGCATTTTGGAGTTCGACTGACGCTCGAGGACTCTTAGCAAGCTACATATGCTTTTGGCATAGCGGCTTCTTTATAGCCTCGTAACCAAAGCTTTGGACTGGTTTTACGCACCTCGCCTCAACGCAGCTTGTGCGTCTGTGCATTGTCACCACTGTCCAACCGACCCAGAGACCCATTGGCCCGCGCTCTTATTTGTCACCAATTAATCGATACCACTATACTCTATGGTTGCTCCGTTATAGCTCACTAGCCTGGTCATCTTGTATTAACCTGACCTATTAGCTCCAATCTTTTGGCCGAACTCGGCACGAGACCAACAATGCAAGTTCCACCGGAGCTGGACATGCGTCCTCATAGCCACCACCACAACTTGCTTGCAAGCTACGGTGGATCGGCTCACGCGGCACTGGAGCAAGTCGCACTGGACGCAGCCGCGATGGACCAGGCCGGGATGGATCCCGTGCAAGTGCTGGAACACGCTCAGGCAGTTATCGAGCAGGCCCAAGCTGCCATGGACCACGCACAGGCTATGGAGCACGCACAAGCCGCCATTCAGCAAGCGCAGGCCGCTCTGGAGCACGCTCAGGCAATGGGCGGCATGGACCCCATGGACCACCATGCTCACACACACGCGCTGGTGGACGAGGCCACCGGAGCCCTCTTGCACCACCACTCCCACCACACCATTGACCACGACAAGTCCCTGGACGTCTCAGGCCACCTAACCGACCCAGATGAGCAACAGAAGCAGCTTGACGAACTGGCCGCTGCTCAGGCGCAGCTGCAGCAGCTGCTGCCCCTGGACCTGCATGGCGGCGACCCGGCCGCCGCGCACCTGCACCTCGCAGGCATCATGCAGCAGGCTCTGCAGGTGGTGGAGCAGCAGCAGCAACAGCAGCAGCAGGCGCTGCAGCAGGGGCTGCATGGCCTGGCTGCGGGTGACCTGGCGGCGCAGAACGCCCTCCTGGAGCAAGCCATGGCCTTGGCGGCACTGGCGCCCCTGGGGCTGGACGCGTCCGGCCAGGCGGGGTTCCCGCAGGTGTCGGATGCGGGTGCCGCGGCGGCGGCGGCAGCAGCGGCAGCGGCTGTCGCCGCCGCTGCCGCGGCATCCGTGCCCCAGTCCGCGCTGGGCTCGCAGCCGTCTCCGCCGCACCACCAGCACATGGGGCTGCACATGTCGCAGCACGCTAGGTTGCAGCAGCAGAACCGGCGGAAGAGGCCGGGCGAGATGATGGATTCGATGGATGGCGGCAGGAGCAGCGACAGGAAGGCGAGGAAGCGCAGCGAGAAGAAGCGCAAACGAGCTGAGCGGGAGTTGCAGGTGCGGTTGGTGACACTATAACTTTCTGTAAGGGCAGCAGCTTGTCTGAGTTTGCGCTTAGTATCGGGTTCAGGTTTTGGCTTTGCAACTGATGCTGTTAGGGTGTTTGTTACATAAGGCGCCAATTGCACGTAAAATTTGGTTACACGTTCCTCTTATCAATCTCTCCATAAGTCGCTTCACCCGCGTGTACCCATTCGAACGACAGGAAGCAGCCATCGGCGACGACGACGATGACGACGACGAGTACGGCAATGCCGGGCTAGCGGCCGCCGCCGCTGCTGCCGCCAAGCTCGCTCGCGCCCAGGCGGCGCAGGCCGCAGCCGTCGCCGCCGCAGCGGCAGCAGCTGGCGCCGTCGGCGGCCCTGGCGGCCAAGGCCTATCGGGTCTGACGTCTGCGCCGTCTGCAGGACACAACGGTGTCGTACAGGACGCCGTCGCCGCAGCGGCGGATCAAGGATCCGCGGTGGCATTGGATCCTTCTGACGGCTTCCGAAACCAGGCACAGTCGCTGGTCGCCGCCCTCCTCGCCGCCGCCGTCCCCAACTCCGCTGCAGGTGGCTACCCCAGCATTCCCTCCTACGGAGGCCTCCCCGGCCTCGCCGCGCAGCCATCGGGTGTCGTACCGCAACTCGATGCGCAGTCCCTGGCGGCGGCAGCGGCGGCAGCAGCCGCGGCGGCGGCTCCTCAGTTTTCCGGCCTGCAGCTGGGCGGCCTCTTTGGCGGCGGTACGAACCAGCTGATGGCCCCGGGGGCTCCGGGAGCGTACGGCAGTATCCACGACGGCGTGTCGGATGGCGGCATGGGGGCCCTGCAAGATGCCGTACAAGCGGCTGGCGGGGACGCGAGCGGTGCGTCCCAGCACCCGCACCACCCGCTGCACCACCACACGCATCACGAGCACCACCACGCCCACCAGCACGCGGAGGAGGCGGCCATGGTCGCCGTGGGCGCCCAAGCAGCGCACCACCAGCACCAGCACCACCACCACCACCAGCAGCACCACCAGCAGCAGCAGCAGCAGCAGCAGGGCGGTCCGCTGGACATGGGCGGTGGGGGTCACCCGGGGCAGCTGGGCGGCGTGGCGGGGGGGCAGGGGATGGAGATGTCGGCGCATGAGGGGGCGAAGCCGCAGCGTGGAGGACCCAAGCGGTGAGGTTGGCTGGGGAGGGAAGGGCGGGGCGGGGGATGGGTGTGCGGGTAGCAGGAGTTGCATAGGTGTCCAATCTGGTGATGGTGGTGGGGGGGGTCCGAGAGCCCCTGGGTTTAGTCAGTAAGAAGGGCTGCGGGTGAGTGTTCCTATACCTCTCCTGCTTCCCACCCAACTCCTCTTCCCTCGCTTCCCCTGCCCCTGTCCCTTACCCCCTCCCCCGCAGCATGACCAGCATGTCCTGGAACGAGGACCTGCAGCGCACCGACGTCAAGTCCGGCCCCTTCAGCCAGGCGGAGAGCGAGGCGGCCAAGGCGGCAGCCAGGCAGTACGCAGAGGTGAGGGGGGGGGAGGGGAGGGGCGGGGGGCAGCGGGTGGGTGCGGAGGCCAGCGGCGGGCGGGCGTGGGGTGAAGAGGACGGAATGGGTTGCCTGCTGGGACATTGAGGAAGGGGGAACAGTGCGGTTGTATCCCTCAACCCTAACCGGGCATGGTCTTGACAAGGGTGGATTGGGGCAACCCGGTATGCCACTGCTGCTGCTCTCTGGCACAGAGCTGTGTAGCCTCCCACCCACTCCCTCCCCCTCCCCCCTCCCCCCCCCAGTCCCACGGCAAGAGCTGCACGGACTGGAGCTGGATGTTCTCGCTGCAGCGGGAGGGCATGCACGGCATGATCACCATGATCTCGGCTGCCGTACCGCACCGCACGCGCAAGTCGCTGTGGGCGCACCTCACGCGCGTGCTGCACTCGGGCAACTACAAGGTGCGGAGGCGGGTAGCGCCTCTGAGCGCCGCATGTGGGGGCGGGGGGCCGGGGGGTGAGGAGGGGCTGCATTGGACTGCGTTAGGCCTTACGTTGGCCCTGGTTGTGGTGGGCGGGGGGGTGGGCGCCTGCAAGGTGTCCCTGCAGTGGCATGTGGCGCCTCGCGGACTTCCAACACAACTTGAGGGCCCTACAGCCTCGCTCCCCTCCCTCCCTCCTTCTCTCTTGTGGGATTGCCACCATATAACCACCAACTGCTTTACCTTATCGATGTGCTTCCTTCCCTCCCTCCCCTGCCTCCCCTCCCCACCCAGGGTCACTTCACGGAGGAGGAGGACCGGCTGCTGCTGGACCTGGTGGAGGCGCATGGGCGCAAGTGGAAGGTGATTGGGCAGGAGCTGGGGCGCCTGCCGGAGCAGTGCCGCGACCGCTGGAGGCACATCGGAATCAACCAGCAGCGAACCACGGGTGAGGGGTAAAAAATATATATATGATGATGATGATGATGGGTGAGGGGGGGGGCGGAGGAGAGGAGGGGTGGAGGGCAATGGGAAACCGTGCGAGTTGGATTGCGGCCAATGAGGCGTCAGTGGTTTCCCGATTGCTGTCGCGCCTACCGGGCACGTACGGCACAGCTCTTGAGCAAAGAGCCGTCGCTGCGCATATAGTTCCTGTCCGCTCTCGCAGCTTATCCCCCTTTTCATCCTGGCCGCGCGCAGTCCTGCAACCGCCTCCAACCCCGCTGACTCCCCCCTGCGCCCGCCTGCTCGCCCTTTCTCCCCGCACCCGCCCCCACAGGTCCCTGGAGCCAGGAGGAGATGCAGCGGCTGCAGGTGGTTGTGAAGGAGCACCTGGACTCCAAGCAGCGCGCGGAGCTTAGCGTGGACTCCACCATCGCCCTGGCGGCTGCGGCGCTGGCGGCGGCGGGCAGCAACGCAGCCGGCGGTGACGCGGCGGCAGCAGCGGCGGCAGCGGCGGCGACCATGAGCCTGGGGGGCGTGACGGGCAAGGGCGGCGTGGGTCGTGCTGGCACGTCGCGGCGCATCGTGCTGGACGGGATCAACTGGGAGGCCATTGCAGCCAAGATGGGCACCCGCAACCCGCAGCAGTGCAAGGAGAAGTGGTGGGTGGGAGAGTGGTGGGCGCGGAGGGAGGAGGGGCTGCGTGGTTGCGGTGTCGTGGAGCTCCCTCGCCACCCCCTGCTTGTGTTGCTTGCACATCCTCCGCCGCACACGTCATGAGCCGTACGCTGTTTCTCTGTCCGCAGGTACGACGCGCTGTGCCCCAGCATGGTGAGCCGCGGCGAGTGGGGCACGGGCGACGACAAGCGCATGCTGCGGTCGCTGCTGCTGTCGGGGGTGACGCGCGAGTGGGAGGTCAACTGGGACACACTGGTGGAGGGGCGCACGGCGCTGCAGGTGGGCAGAGGCGGGGCGGGGCGAAGAGGATGCCGACCCACGGGTCGGTGATGACGTCTGGGTGGTCCTAACGCTGTGCTGCAGCTGTGATGGCGGATGGCGTGATGGGTGGGTGGTAGGGTTCTGGTGGAAGCTAGGACTTGCGTCATTGAACACTGTCACGCGTTGGATGTCGCGCTGGATTGTCATCACCCCTTTACCGGCCTGTTCCCATGCACCCCCACAGTGCAAGCGGCGCTGGCGGCTGATGCTCAAGTGCGTCCCCGACCACCGCAACATGGAGTTCGATGCCGTACTTTCCTTCCTGGTGGACAAGTACGCGCCCAAGCTGCGCGCGCTGCAGGCCCAGCAGACCGAGCAGATCATGCAGCAGCAGCACGACACCCTGCAGCAGATGCTGCAGCTGCAGGGCATGGGGCTGGTGCCCACGCCGGGCGGGGACCCCTCGGGCGGCGCAGGCCAGCTGGACGTGAATGGCAACCTGGTGGGCGGCGGGGGGCACTTGGGGCTGGAGGCGCAGCACCAACAACACCAGCAGGCCGTGGCGGCGGCAGCGGCGGCGGCGGCGGCGCTAGCGGGGCATCAATCGGGCGCGGGGGGACAGGGCGTGCTGGGATTGTCGGGGTTGGACGGCAGTGCGCTGGCGGCGAACCAAGAGGTGCTGGCGGCGGCGGCCGCGGCCGCTGCGGCGGCGGCAGGGTTGGTAGGGGATGGAGGGTATGAGCCCTCGGCAGGGGCGTAAACGCATACTTGCGGATTAGAAGGCGGGTGATGGTGAGATAGTTGGTAGGAGAGTTGGTTTAGGGCCGGGGACAGTATTCGTTACATGCCGCCACCATGCGTGCCGCAAGCATGGCAATGAGAGTACGTTTATGGCGTGGTCCCGTGTGTCGGATCAGGCTCGGATTGTGAGCGCGATTGCATGGGCAGCTGGGTTTGCGGGTGCAGCAATGCAAGGACTGAGCACAGCATGGCAGCCGGCTGGAGCCATCCGGCGGGGGGGGGACCCCAGCGTTGTACGTCGTGCCTCGTATGCCAGTGATGGGCCCGCTGCGGCAACCCAAGGGTGTTGTGGGAGAGGGGGTTCGTGGAGACGGGAGAGCCATGATGGCTTGGCGCGTGTTGCAACCGCGGCTTGCCTAGTAGTAGTTGAGAACTATAGGAGGTTGACCACAGTTGTTGGGACGAGAGGGAGCTGGTCCCAAGCTGGCAGCAGCGGTACATGCATGATGACAGCGGGAATGCAGGCGACAATGCAGTTTGTTTGATGCTCCCGTTGGAGGGCTAGCTAGGCAGGCGGTTAGGCAGAGTTATGGGTTAGTTTGTACCATGATGAGGCCGCAGAGGCGGCACGAGGTCAGAGCCGTTGCACGAGTGTCCTTGTGCTGTAGCGTTCAGGGCGCCCTGTTGACCCTATGCAAGGGCGCATAAGCACACATCCCTCACAGCATCTCGTGTCCGTATTGCCTTGTGTGAAGTGTGTCGTACACTGAATAGAGCTGCGCAGGATGGTTAGGAGAGGCGCCGGCTTGGCTGCTTATTTCCGTTACGGAAGTGTTTTAGCCTGGGTGTTTTGAGGCCCGTCTGCGGTAAAAATGCGAGGAGGCGGAGGGAGAGGTTGGCATCTTAATTGGGAATTACCTCGAGGGTGGGCGTGTGGGATATCTAAGAAAGCCGCCAGACAAGGCTAATAGCAGAACTATGCCGTAGCAGTGCGCTGTGTATAAAACCCTGTGAGCAAAACAAGATGTGTTATTGTGGCCGTTGATACGGCCTGTTGGCAACTTGATGTAAAAATCATCAAAACCCATTGTGTCCATGCCCTGACAGCTCCCCAGCACACCTCCCAGCACAGATGGAGCTGGAGCTGGTGACTGCGCCTCCTTCAAGGCATCATGCCATGACACACCTCTGGCTACACTGTACTGCTTACTTGCCGGTAAGAGTAAGAGGCTATGTATACGCTATGTACAGCCAATACCTATTGCGATTTGCATTCCTCACGCATGTGCCAGCGTTCACGAGCAGCCCACTCTCGGGCCTCCTCTTCACTCAACTACACCCGAGCCAGTATGCCACGTTCCTAACCCCGGCCATTCCGCCGCGCCGCCGACCCCTGAGCCCCCTCCCTCCTCCCTCCACCACCAATCCGGCCCACCTCACTCCACATCCCCACCACCTGCTGCCGCCGCATCCACCCCAGCCGCATCCGGCCCCCCAGCCGCCACCCGGGGTCCCTCACCCTCGTCCCGAATCACGGTGTAGCTCCGAACCCGCTGCCTCAGCGCCGCCGCCGCACTCGCCGCCGCCGCGCTCTGCTGCTGCTGCTGCTCCCGCCGCCGGTGCAGGGCTCGCAGCGAGGCACGCTGGGACTGCGTCTCCCGGGCGGAGGCGGTGAGGCTGCCGGAGAAGGGCGAGTGGCGAGCTGATGCGGCCAGTTGCGCCTGTGCGGTTGGGTCCCTGGCAGGAGGCACGGGGTGTGGCAGGGTAGTGAAGGAGGGGTCGTCATGGGGCTCGAGGGAGGGGGCTGCGGCTTGCGGGTTGGCAGCGGAGGCACCACAGCCGCTGTCGCTGGCGGCTGTTCGGCGGTAAGTCAGCTGCTGGTGGTTACTGAGGTGTTGGAGGGACTGCGAGCTGTGCCGTGTGCTGACGCTGCTGTTGTTGCCCGGCCTACGCACTCGGCGGGGTGGTGAGGGGGAGCGGGAGCGGTGGGAGGCGTGCCCCTCCACGGCAGCGGCAGCACCGGCGCCGGTGCCGGCGGGTATGCGGGTGGGGCTGCCCGTAGATCGCCTGCAGCAGCAGCAGCAGCAGAGCAGCGGGGACACAACGAGATGCACCACGTGGGGTGGAAGACGGAGCTCGCGCGCACGACATGGCAGCAGCGCTGAAAAAGGCTCTCACACGCGGGGAGGGCGCTCCGGCGGATGCCAGTGCCCCTGGGTCCGTTGGGGGCCCATGTGCCCTTGTCACTGTGCCAGCTGGTAAGCATGTAGAGCCCCGGGCTCTATGCGTACATGCGTCATGTACCCACACACGAAGCTCGCCCAGCCAGCTCGCCCGTACAAGTGCCATGCATGTGCCGTATCCCACCTGGAGGGCGGTGAAGGGGAGCGGCTGGAGGCCAGGTCGGCGCCGCCGTGAGCCCCCTCGTGACTGGAAGGTGCGGTCTTCCTCGACCCAGGTGGCCCCCCAAGCAGCTCCGCACCACCATGCACTGGGACGGGCGGCACCGCTGTCGGCGGCGGCGGCAGCCACTGCAGCCCCATCTGCGGCAGGCCGCCGAGCCCCCCCAGCGCACCGGAGGGGCTAAGAAGCCCGTACGGCAAACCCCCACCCGGGCCCCCTCCGAAACCCAAACCAAAGCCTCCTAGGCCTCCTCCTCCTCCTGACGCCGCAGCAGCTGCAGCTGCTGCGGCCATGACGGGAAGCAGCACGTTCCCCAGCGGCGAGGCGCTGCCGGCCCCGGCAGTGCCCAGTACAGGTGCAGGCTGCGGAGGCGGCGGGGGTGTGCCGTACGTCGGCTGTAGCGGTGTGTACGACAAGGGCTGGAGCGGCGGTGGACTACTGAAGTGGGGAGCTCGCATGTCCTGTGCGTGGCGTTGAGGAGGAGGACAGAGGTACGGCAGGTGGGGGGAGTGGCGCAGGGGCAATGGGGCTGGGTATGCGGACTAAGGGCGCACGCATGCACAAGCATGGTAGGCAAGCCGAAGTCAATCGATTTGCCGTGCTTGCCCGGCTCCACCCCTCGGCCGTGGAGCTCTTTCTAACCCTAGACTAGCACCCCGGGTCCCATGCGGGGCGCCCATCCAGCCCCAAGCCACCCCCGCCATGCGGCACCGCTCCCCTTCCCTCCCTCCACACACACATACACACACCGGCAATCACAGCACGTTCCGACTCACGGGCAGTTTTCTTACCACACCGGCACACCCCCTGCTGCTCGCCTGGGCAGTCGCCTGGCACACCTGACGGACCTCACCTGGTTCAACGGCGACATCGCTGCCCCTGCTCCCGTCGCCGCCGCCGCCGCCATCAACGCCGCCAGCTGCATGCCGTACCTGTCCCGCTGCGCTCGTACCTCGTTGCTAAGATCCATCAACCGCTCGTTCTCCTGCCGTACAGTCGCCAGCTGGCAGCGAGCGCGCTCCAGCTCCGTCTTCAGCTGTGCTATCTGCTGCTGCGCTTGCTGCAGGCTGAGACCCCCCTGCGGCTCCTGGTTGTGAAGTGGCTGCTGCTGTTCCGCTGCGGAGCCGCCTGGGGCCCCTTCCGCCGCCCCTGCTGCAGGGGCAGCCTCAGCTGCAGCGGGGCCCTGCTCCTTGCCGGCGGCCGCAGCCGCTACCCCCTCCGCTGCACCCGCCACCGCCGCCGCCCCAGGCATCAGCCCAGCAGCTGCGGCTGCTGCTGCAACCGCTGCCCCTGCGGACCTCGCCGCTTGCGCCTGCATGGCTGCGCGACGTAGGGCCCGGTTGGCGGCCGTGAGCTCCCTCAGCCGCTGCCGCAGGAAGGCAACCTCCGCAGCCGCAGCGGCCGCCGCTGTGGCGGAGGCGGCGGCGGTTGCGGCATGCGGTTGTGGGGCGAGCTGCCCCCCGGCAAGGGAGGCTCCTGCTGCTGCTGCTGCTAGTGGCGGCGGCGGTGCAGCCGTTGCTGTTGTTGCTGGGGGCGGGGCGCCGAGTCGCACGGCTTGCAGCTGCTGCTGCAGGAGCTCTGCGTGCTCTAGGGCCTGGGGGGTGATGGGTGAGGCGGTTGGCCGTTAGGGGTTGGTTTGCAGGTAAGAGGAAGCTACGAGGGAGCTTGTTGGCACCCCCGGAGGTTGCGGAGGCTCAGGTGTCCCCACCCCCGCCCCTGCCCCTCACCTCCCCCCCCTCACCAGCTGCAGGTCCCGGTCGCTCTCCTGCAGCTCCGCCAGCAACGCAGCCATATCGGGGTGCCGCTCCCCTGCTGCCCCTGCTGCCGTACCCGCCACCCCCTCCTGTGGGTGCAGCTGGGGGCCGGAGGGCTGCTGCTGCCGCTGTAGCACGCTGTCCGCCGCCGCCCCCGCCGCCGCCTGCAGCGCCTCCATCTCCGAGCGCATGACGGCCAGGGTGGCGCGCAGCCGCCGGTTCTCCTCCTCCGTCTCGCTCAGGACGACACTGAGGGGGGTGTTGTGAGGTGTGAGGGAGGGGGCATGAGGAGGCAGGGAGGTGTGCGGGAGGGGAGGGAAGGGAGGTGGGGAGGAGGTGGGGAGAATGGAAGGTGGGGCCCAATAGACAGGCCCAATAAGTAAGTGTAAGCCAGATGAAGGTGAAATTCCCCCTCGCCCGTTTGCTTGTCCAGACGCAATAACCTATGCTACTGACCCATGGGTCGCTAACCGTGATTCCACCGCCTGCCTTCAGCTCTGAACTCCAATCCCCCGCCCGGGCAGCTCGACATCCCGCCTTACCGGACGTCCATTCCGGGCCCTTCTAGCCGCTCCCCCATCCGCTCCGGACTGCCCCACCCCTGTCCGTCCTGCTGCTTCTGCTGCTTGTGGTGTTGTTGCTGCTGCTGGTCCTGCTGCTGGTGTTGTTGCTGCTGCTGCTGTTGCCCCTCCCCGGGGGGTCCCAGTCGGGAGCGGCTGGGCAGCGGGCGCAGCAGCGCGTCGAGCCCCTCCTTGGAGCTCCGCAGGTACTGCGCGGCGCGTGCGGCGGCGGCAGCTGCGGCCGCGGCGGCGGCAGCGGGGCTCCAGGGGCGGGCGGGCGGGTCCTGGCGGAGAGGAGGCGGAGGGAGGCGGAGGCGGACAGGGAGGGGGGGAGCTCAGCGCGCCCACGTGCTACCGTACGTGCTACCCGAACTGCCGTACCCTGACGCCATGCACTCTAGCGTACACCACATCCCTTACCTCCCTTACCACGGGGTTGCGACCCTTACCTGCTGCGAGCCAGGGGGCGTGGTGCTGCCTGCCCTTCCCCCTCCTCCCGCTCCCCCTCCTCCCGCTCCCCCCCCGGACGGCCCCAGCCAGAAGGAGGCGGAGCTGCCCGGGGAGGGCGGCAGGTCCATCAGCGAGGTGGCGCCCAGGTCGGGCAGGGAGTCGTGGGAGTCCTGGAAGGGGGGGGAGGGAGGAGGGGGGGAACGACTAACGAACCGTGTAATAAGGTGTCATGAGGGAGGGAGTAAGCGGTTAGTAGCAGGAAACAGTGAGCAAGTCGGTTACAGCCCGGAGGGGGGGGGTACATGAACTGAGCTGCGAGGAAAGGAAGCACTTCCCCCAGACGTGGAGGCAGACGGCGGTGCGGGGGATGGTGACGCATGGGTGCACGTGTGTTGGAGGCTGATGGGGGAGTCGGCGAACCCGCCATCCAATCACTTCGCTGAATGCATGCATCCACCTCGCCCCCCCGCCCATGCATCCACCCCCCCGCCCCCCCGCCCATGCATCCACCCCCCCGCCCCCCGCCCATGCATCCACCCGCCCCCCACCCACCTGCAATGCCTCCAGCGACAGTGCCGCCGGCCTACCGGCAGCCAACTGGGCATGGTAGTGCTGGTGTGGGTGACTGTTGTACGGCAAGGTCGGCCTGTACGACATGGACGGTACGGCATGCTCTCCCCCTCCAGGTGCAACTGCTGCTGCTACTCCAGGAGCCCCCTTCACCGGCCCCGCTGCTAGGAGGCCGGGGGGTGGTCCGCCCATGCTGCTGCCGCCACCCGCCATCACCATGTTGCCCTTGTTCCCCCCACCGCGGCGGTGGTACACGCGGGGTGACAAGGAGGCTTCGGAGCCGCTAGAGGGAGAAGAAGACCCTGCCGCCGCCTCCGCTGCTGCTGCAGCCCCCTCCGATACCCGGCGCCCATCCCCCTGCCGCTTGCCATCACCACCTCCTCCTCCGCCGCCACTGCTGCCATTCTTTGCCCTTTGATGCCTTCCCCGCATCCCCGCAGCAGCAGCCGCCTCCGCCCTCAAGGCCTCCAGCTCCCCCCTCATGTGCGCCACCGCCCGCCCCTCCGCCTCCAGCTCGGCTCGCAGCGCCCGCACCTCCTGCAGCCGCTGGGCCTCAGCCTCCTGGGCCCTACGCTCCTGGGTTGGGGGGGGAGGGGGATAGAGAAGGAAAACACAAAGTAGGTAGGTGCAGCCCGCTATTGGCGGCCCGCTACTGACGACCCGGGGTATGAGAGCCCCTGCACTCTGGGGGGCAGGGGGGCTGAGAGAGGAGAGGCGGAGTCGGGTCGGGGTACCAGCAGGAGCGCTTGGGGTAGTAGAGTGGCAAGCCCAGCACTCTGCTGGCCGGTACACTTGCGGTGCGTGCGGGGTCACTACGTCCCTCCCCCGAAGCCCCGCCTGCACACCAGCCGTACGCCCCCACCCCCACCCCTGCCTCACCGCCTCCTGCCGCCTCCGCTGCAGCTCCGCCACTGCCGCCTCCGCCGCCTGCCGCTCCTCCGCCAGCTGCTGCTCCAGGGAGGCTGCGCGGGGCTGGAGGGGGAATAGGGACGGGAAGGGAGGGGGAGGGAGAGGGAGGTAGGAGGAGGGAGACTGGGAGGTAGGAGGAGGGAGACTGGGGGTGGCGTAAAGGGTTACTGTGAACCGGCCGTACACGTAGTTCAAGTAGAAGAGGGAGGGAGGTTGAAGGGAGGAGAATGAAGGTCGGGATGTCGAGGAGGGAGATTGAGGCAGGGGACCCGGGGATTGCCTTTTGAAACCACGTGAGACGTGAGGCTCACTAGCCCCCCTCTGCCCAGTGCCCCCCCCCCTCCGCCCCCCCCTCGTGTCGTACGCCCACCTGGATCTCCTCCCGCGCCACCCGCAGCTGCTCCCTCAGCCCAGCCGCCTCCTGCTCCAGATGGGAGCCGCGAGCTGGCGGGGCGGGGGAGGAGGGGAGGAGGGGGCGAGGAGGAGGAGGGTTGGCGGGTCCTAACAGCCTATGGTCAGGTCAGGGGGCTAGCGGCAGTTCCCCCCTGCAACATGCCACATCCCTGCACAAACCCCTTCTCCGCACCCACCGCCCCTCCTCAGCCCCCCAACCCACCCCCACCTGCCGCCGCGTCCAGCGCCCCCCTCAGCGCCGCCACCTCCTCCCCGTGCCGCCGCTGCAGCAGCCCCACGTCCTCAAGACACTGCCGCCGCAGCTCCGCCAGGCACTGCTGCGCGGTGGACAGCTGGGCGGCCAGTTGGGCCTTGTGGCTGTCGTACGACTCGGTTGCCAACTGGGCTCACGGAGTACACGGAGGAAGGAAGGAGGGGTGCATGGGTGCATGGGGCGGGGCGGAGCACAGGGTAGCGTACGACAGAAGGGCAAAGTACTTGGTTGCAAGTCGTGCGAAAGGCAGGTTGCAAGGGGCGGGCGGGCGTTAGGGTAGCGCGTACGGCGAAATACGGTACTCGGCTGGCATGGGAAGGCAGGTTGCACGTATGGACAACACCGCATCGCGAGACGGCGGGCCGGGTGGTGTTGGGTGGGCACAAGAAGGGGGACCCAGCATGGCATTGGCAGTAGCCAGCAGCAGCAGCAGCATGGGCGGCCGATGCGGAGGCGCCCGCCCCTACCCGCCCGCCCGCCTCACCCTCAGTCGCTGCTCCGCCTGCTCCGCCCGCTGCTGCAGCTGCCGTACCTCCCCGTCGTGCAGCCGGGTCCGCGAGTCCAGCTCCCGCTGCAGGGCCCGACAGGTGGCGTCCAGGTCGCGGAGGGAGGCGCGGGCGGACTGGGGGGAAGAGGGGGGGGGGCTGGGAGTGAGGGGGGAGTGGGACGGAAGAGGAGGGGCGGGATGGGTGGGAATGGGGTGCGTGGGAGGGAGTAGGGGGCAGAGGGTGAGGGTGGGTGGGGGCTTGGACTGCTGCGCATGGTCAGGAGAGGGAGTAGGGGCGCAGAAGAGGAGCAGTGCCAAGTTGCTAACCTCCGCCCGCTGCTAACCTGCCCCTAAACTTGCATGGCCCGCCCCTCACCCCACCCCTCCGTGCTGCTCCTACCTGCTAGCAACTGGCCCAGTGCAATGCTCCCACCCATTCACGGGCTCAGTACTTCCCTCAATCCGCGATGGACCCCCCATCCTCGCCCCGCCCCACCCCTCATCTCTCTCACCTCCGCTGCCCGCGCCTCCCTCTCCGCTGCTTCCTGCAGCTCCCGCTGCCGCTGCTCCGCTAGACGGGCGGAGGCGGAGGCGGCCTGGGGGGAAGGGGGGGAGGCCACCGAGGCAGGGGGCGCACGTGTGTCAACAAACACTGACCACAACACGGCCACCGGGAGGCTCCGCACCCCTGCTCCTCTCGTTCCTCCCCTGCCTCCTCACCCCGCACCAGCGCCCGCTGCGCCTGCCGTACTGCTGCTGCGCCTCCTGTACTGCTGTACTGCTGCGGCGGCGGCACGGCAGCCCCGTAACCCACCCCCCCTCACGTCACATCTGCTCCCCACCCCTGCTCCTGGACCCCATCCCTGCTCCAAAGCTGGTTACCCCCTTCCCTACTACCTATTACCCACTACCGTTCCGCCCGCCCACCACCCCGCCCGGCCCAACCCCACCTGCTTCGCCTCCGCCAGCTCCTCCTCCGCCCGCTGCAGCTGCTGCTGGTGCGCGGCCTGCAGGGCGACGCGCTGCCGCTCAGCCGCCTCCCGCACCTCCTCCAACTCGCGCTGGAGGGGAGGACGAGGGCGGGGTGCTGGGGTGTTGGGGGAGGGGAGCGGTGGGGGGAATCAGGTACAGGTACCACCTGGCCCCCGCCTCCCCAGTACTCACCTGCATCCCCCTCCTGGCCGCCTCCGCCTGCTCCCGCTGCCGCAGCGCCGCCTCCGCACGCCCCAGCCGCTCCTCCTCCCGCAGCGCCGCCAGCTCGGAGCGCTGCGCGGACAGTAGGAACTGCTGCTGCTCGGAGGCGGCGCGGGCGGCGGCTAGGTCTGGTGGCATGTAGGGATGTGAGGGAGGGAGATGGAGAGAGGAGGGGGGTAATGAGGAATGAACAATGAGGTGCTTCACCGACCCAGATTGCTTCACGGAGCTGGCGCGCTTGGCTGCCAGGCCTCCATCTGCCATCTGTTCCTCGTCCACCCCTACGTCCGGTGCCTGGTGCTGCAGCACCCGCTGCGGGTGCTTGTTCCGCACCATGGACGCCCCCACACGCTCCGAGTGGCGCACCTGGCTGGCGTGCAGGCAGGACCCCATGCGCTTAAAGCACACACGCAGACTGCGCACACCCACACCCAGACTGCGCCCCCACACCCCCAATGGGTATCCTTCTTTTACCCCCCCCCCCGGACTGCGCACCTGACTGCAAGCTGCCCGCCAGCGCCTCCAGCTCCGCTACCCGGCCCCGCAGCGCCGCCTCATGGGCCTGATGCTGTACGGCAGCTTCGTCATACGACGCGAGCTCCTCATCCCGCTGACGTAGCAGATCCAAGTTGTAGGTGAAGTCGGCTTTAAGGGCCTCGAACTAGGTGAGATGATATTGTACGGCAGGGGGGGGTGATTTCGGGGGTTGTGACAGAATGTAAAGTGTTGGGGCATGTTTGTTGGTGGGAGAAGGGCGTGACCTTGGATCTCGTGTTCTTGTAGTGCACATCGAGGTCATGCAGGGATGTGGGTCAGGCTGATACCGGTACGGCGAGGATGGACGGACAAAAGGAACATAAGGGGTCGAGGTGAAAGCTCAGTTCATTTCCCGTACCTGCTGTGTCAGCGCAACAAGCTCATGCTCTCGGGTGGCCAGCTGTAACACCATAGCGGCACGGTTAGCGTGTTGGCAAGTAGGTAAGCTTGCAGCATGCTAGCGCCCACCCCAGCCTTCTGGTTTTACCTGCTGCTCCAAAGACTGAAGTGTCCTGTTGCGCAGTTCCGCAAGCTCCTGCTCCCGCCGCTGCAGCTGCTCCAAGCTGTCGACCATGTTCGCAGAAACGAAATTATATACCTATACTCCACATAGTGTTACAACCGTACTTCACTAGAAGAATCGCCTATCTTCTAGAGGTGGTTCACAGCAATAATCATTTGCGAATGGCAGAAAAGGTATGGCAAACAAATGAGTTCAGAAGTATGCAAACAAATGTTGCTCAACGGTAACAAATAAAATGCTTAACTCGATAACATATTATGTTGGCACCGGGGATGACTGGATCAATTTGGGTCAACAGTCAAAAGCCGTACACGTGACCGAAGCCTTGCGTGGATGGTGGATCATGCACTTTGCCTGGTCCCAAGCACCGTGACGCGGTAACAGTTTAGAAGTATAGCGGTTAGCAAGTATTTGTTCACGCTTCACACTTCCCATCCGCGCCCTAATTGCTTCTGAGGGCGATCATTACAGAACGGCTGTAAATCTCTTCAACCATTAATAGGCAGGATGGTGCTCCTCCATATGAAGGTAGGCGACCTTGGCTTAAGGGTTAGGCCGCGGTTTGCTCAAGCAATGCTTCTCGAAGCTATTCCCTTTTCCCTGCTTACACCCCTGTCATGGACTTGCAGCGATCGGACCTAGACCAGTTTCTGTTCGAAACAACAATTAACTCGACGGTCGAGGAGACGACGCGGCAGCTGGCGGATGTGCACAACCTCCGTCATCGAATTGAGCGATTAAAAGCGGAGGGCGAGGAGTTGGCTAAATACGGCCCAGCAAAACGACCAGACCAGCAAGGCATTGACCAGTATCAAGAAACCCCTGTCGAAAAGGGGCCACACTACAACATGGACCCCACGGGCCGGCGGACAGGCAACGGTAAGTTCCAGGGCTAACTTTAGGGGTCGCTTCGCTCCTCCTTAGAAGCCACATAGTCATACACGGGAGATTGGCTTACAAGTTTAGCGTACCCTGTGCATGTCGGACGTGCCTGCATCCATCGGACCTGCGCCCCGCCATGTCCTCCCCAACTCTGTCCAAGCTGCCGTTCTTGCAACCTCTTGTGTCCGTCTACCGTATCATGTGTTTCGTTCATCGTTGCAGCCTGCGATCCGGAGGTGGCGAAGGTGCTGGTGCGGACACTAGAGGAAGCAGCAGCGGTGGCGCACAAGGTTAGCATTGCGGGGGGCGTGTCTAGAGGGGCCTGGAACCAGATCACATTCGTCGAGAGGACGCACGTTCTATTCTTGTGGCCGCACGCATCATGGCATGGGTGTACCTAGAGTACACGTCTCCGCTAATCGCCAAGGCACTGCAGGAAACCTCGCGGGTTCCTTACCCCACTCCAACCTCAACCTTTTTCTCCGACAGCGCCCTACTGGGTCGCTAGTCGTTTCCTCTTTACCACCCTACCGGGTCGGCTGCCATGTTTGCACCCCATGGTGAAGCCGTAAGTCACACAGCTCGTCCGTTTCCTCCCTTCACCACCCCCCTCTGCTGCCCCCCACAGAGCCAGGTGGAGCGCAAGGTGCCGCTCACCGCCCGGGCGCTGCAGGAGGCGGTTGACAACGTGCGCGGCGCCGTCATGATCTGCTACCCCGCGGGGCTGCCCGAGTGGGACCCTGTGCGGCAGGGGCTGGAGGGGCGCGAGGAGCTGGCGGGCACGTCGGTGGGTAGCGGGGGGCGGGGGGGTGGGTACGGGCCGGCGGAGCGGGGCCGTGAGGTGGGGAGTAGACGCGTTGATAGACCCCAGGGAGGGAGGAAGGGAGGCGCGCTGGCTGAACGGTTGAACGCCGCCAACAGCTGCGCTGCGGAACCCCGCCGACCCACATGCCCCTCTCCTCAACCCTGGCCCCTCCCCGCCCCCCCCCCTCCCCCTGGCAGTACGCCGCGGACGACCTGCCTGTCGAGACCGCCACGCTGTGGTTCGCGGGCAAGCAGATGCAGCCGGAGAAGCGGCTCAGCGAGTACCTGGGGCGCCACGAGAAGACGCGGGCGGTGGTGAAGCTGCAGAAGAAGGGGCAGGGCGCACCCGCGCGGGAGCCGGTGGGTGGGGCAGGCTGGGTGGGGGGAGGGGGAGGGTGATGCTGGCTGCTGGGGCCGAGGGTGAAGGGCGCGAGAAGCGGTGCGAGCTGCTCTTGGTGTTCTCGCCCTCATGTTGATGATGCTTGTGGGTACGTCATCCTCCCCTTGCTCCCTTCCCTTGTGCCACCCTGCCGCCTCCTCTCCCTGTTGCTCCTTGCCCTCACTGTTTCCCTTCACTGTGCTGGTTAGGGGCCAGTCACCCTCCCCCTCCTGGTGTCACGTGTCAGTTGCCACTCTCGCTCGTTGCATGGGTCCGTCACCCCTCCCCCTCCCCCCATTGCCTCCTACTTCCATTGCTTTGCCCTAACCTGTGGTCTCCCATGGTTTGGTATGGTCTTTGACCTCCCCCCGCCCCCCAGGTGGTGGACCAGGACACCCAGAAGGCCATGATGGCCTGGTACTACAAGAAACAGGAGGAGCAGAAGGTAGGGGGGCGAGGCAGCTGACGTGGGGGCTGTAATGGTTGCTGCCGCTGGAGAGCCGCACAACACAAAACAACTTGTTTCACCTCTCCCTGCCCCTCTGTTACCCCCCAACAGCAACTCGCGGAGGACGAGGACGACTCCTACACCAACTCCTCCTGGGCCAACCCCAAGTCACTCAAGGCGCACTTCTCGGGCGTGCAGAGCGTGCGGCTGCCCAAGTAAACGGCTGCTGATGCACCCGCGGCTGGGATGCCGTTCCGCTCCGAATCTCCGCGAACCCTGTGCACTTGGAACGCATGACTACGTGGGGCTCCGGTGTGTACATCGAGAGCGGCGTGAAAGGGGGGGTAGGGGCCACCCAGTAGCTCCACTCCGGGAAGTGTGAAGCGGTGCCTCGTGCTGTGAAGCTGTGTTACCATGGGGCCAACTACCATACTGTCATCCTGTCCTGTCCAAGTGCCGTCCTGTCAGGCAGCGCTTCACGTTCCGATATTCAGAGCCCAACAGCGAGCATGTGTGCAGCGAGCGAGGTATAGCGATGGCAGCTTGAGGCCCAGATGAAGATTGATGTGATGTGATGTTCCATGGTGGGGGCCCTATTAGGGCTGTCACAAACCATGTAAGGCCTAAACGAGCCGGAGACCCATAGACCTGCTACAGAGTTCGTGCGTAAAAAACAAAAAAGAAAGAAAATTAAATGAAGGGATGTCAAGTTACCCAGTGAGTGCCTCCTGCCTTAAGTCCCCAGATGTCGTGGAGTAAATTTGCTATAGGGCGTCTGCGGTTCAGCGTTATTGAAAGCCCCCTGATGTGCGGGTGGACAGGGAGGGCAACAGCGCTGTCATACCGGTAGCTTCACACTTTCGTCTGCGGACCCGACACGAAGGGGCGCTGATGGCAGCAGTGCCCCGTCGGGGTGAACTGCATGGCCATCACATCGATGTGGGAATACCCCAAATATACGACTTTCGTCGGCTTACGGCTTCAGAAGCACTGCTATAGAGATATCCCTGCACGCACCAGGCGGCAACCACGCCATTCGTCTTGGACCCCATGTCCAGTTTAGGTCCTTAACATGACCTTGCCCCATGTCCAGCGAGAGCAGTCACTCCAGCAGCTTGACTTCGCTTTTTTTCGTGAGTTGCGGTTCGCGGGGATACACCGACATACGGTACCTTGGTTTTGTCCGTTAACATGTGCGGCAGCTTGTTACGTTGCTAAGATTGGATATGTTTACGCGTTCCAAGGACATGGGATTTAAAAATGGCAGGCGTTGGATGGGATGGCTGCATCAGAACAGCCCCTCAGGAAGCTGACACCTCGCATGCGCGTGCGACACCCCGTATAAGATGCGCGTGCTGTGCAGGAACGTATGCCATGCGCTGTCGCTAAGTGTTTATATACTAATATGTTGCATAAAAGCTCAGGTTTGACTCTGGGCTTCGGGGCAGAGTGGAAGACCTTCGGGTTCGGAACGCGTCGACACTCCCTCAAACCTCAAAGGCATACCCGCTTGCTCATGGTGTATAGCTTGTGCAGACGCAACAAAGGCCAGCTGCTAACAGCCTTGTCAGCAGCCTCAGCACCGCACGCAGTGGATAGATTTACTTTTAAAAGAGAATTTCCATCGCTGCAATGACGATATATAGGGACCACTGACACGCATTGTAATTAGTGTCAGTATTGCGCTGCAATCCATGGATAGGCCAGGATGGGCTCCCAGTACCGTACATAAAGAGCCTTCCCTTAGTTTACGCCTCGAATCGACGAGCAAAGTGGCATTTGAAAGATAAAAAAAGGGCTACTATATGCACTTGCATCGTCGCGCGAGGGGCCCCACCCTGGTTGAGTGTCCCGTGCCGTCTGTCCCGTGGCCCCCTACCTAGTCATCCGTACAGGCGGGCGACTCCGCCTGTCGCGTCACCCTACATATACGAAACATTAGTACATATCCACGTAGGAGCTCCCTTCCGCTGTCAGAAAGAGTTCACAAGGAAATTCGCAACCAACTCCCACGGACCACTTTCCATGGCTACAGTAGAAGCCACACCGCCAAGGACTTCTTTGTCCCGCGGGGACTCTGCTAAGTCTCGCAGCGACTCGGATGTCGAAGAATGCTGGATCTGCCTGTCGAGCGCAGGCACATTGACACGCCCTTGCAAATGTCCACGCGTTTGCCATCGGGAGTGCATCGCAACATGGCAGCTAATCAATTATGGCCGGAGGTCAGTCTCCCGCGGATCGTAGCTGTGGCGCTAGCTGCCTCGGTGCCTCGCGCCCCTTTCGCCGATTGACGTTTTTATCGTCAAATTGTCCCGATTGCCTTTTCGAGCAGCCTTTAATTATTTTGGGTCTCTGTAACTCACGTATGCTTTGTAGGGAGGAAAGCTGCTGCCGCTTTTGCCAGCAGCGCCTCCCTGCGCTATGGAGGGGGGATGAACCAGCAAATCCCGCGGCTGAAGAACTAAAGGTGGCGCCAGTGATGGCTGTCAGGTACGCGCTGGAAGAGCAGCGACGATTCACTGCTCACGTTTTAACTTCTGCGTCGTTTCCTATCCTAGCATGTGTCCGCTGTCTTTCTTGCAGCCTGCTTTACTGAGGCTATATGCACAACATATAAAGCGGGTACTCCGCGAAGCAACTTGCGTTCAGTCGGTATCACCGTTCATTCCATTCGCTTTGGGGCGCTCGAGGCAAGCCCTTGTTTCGTCTTAAATTCTAAAGTATTGGCATAACACCAAAAGCCTTCATGTAATGTTCCGTTCTGGTACCTCAGGTATAGCGGCCCCGAAGGCACGCGTGAATTCAAGATGCGCGTGCGGCCTGGACCCGACGGCCTCGCAGCCTTCAAGGCACATCTCAAAGAAGCCCTGGGATTTGAGGTTGGGCCTCAGGTCCACATCACCTTCGAGTAAGTCTCCGTCGAGGCAGGAAAATTACTACGCTGATGCTAATGCGCGCCGATCATACTTCCCTTGGCTGCAACCCGCTGCCCGCTCCTTCTTTTCCTCGTCACTCCTCGTTCATTACAAGCCCTTCATACATCACCCATTACTTATTGCATCACCCGAATAATGCTGTGCTGTGCTGCGTTTCGCCGTACAGGTGCCAAATGCCCTCCACCGGCGCTCTACTCACGCTGACGGGCATTAACGCCTACGGCGCTGCCACCCACTGCGCTGCCCTCCTGGCAGCCCAGAGACACCCCAACCAGTCGCAAAGCCCGACAGCTAGAGCCGCTGTGGCTTCTCATCCCCTTAACCCCTTCACACCCTTCAGCAGCAGCGGGAGCGGCAACAATAGCCCTCAACACCAACAGCACCCCCAACAGCACCGGTCCGCCACGCACTCCTTCATGCCCGCCTCCCAGGCGCTATCCACGCCCCGGCCGCTTCCCTGGCGCCGGCCCCGGCGCTTCTGCCAGACGGGATACACCTCACCCGCCACCACCACCACGAATTGCAACGCGCCCATGTCTGCCTCGTGGCCCTCCCAAAACGGTGCAAGTCTGCAGCAGTACGGCGGCAATGCACGTACGGCACCCGCGCAACTGCCGCCATCTTGGCGTCGGTTGGTTCATTCACGTAGTGCCTTGCTTGATGAACAAGGCGGGGACGAGGGCGGCAGTGCCTTGGAGGTGGCTGCACGGTCGCGCTCGACAGCGGCGTATGTACCCCACTCAGCTGCCGATCTGGGTCGCGGCCATGGCGACGGCGATTCGTCTTCCGACGACGAGCTGCTTCGGGCGATGCGGGTGCCGTACATCCGGCCCCAGCACGAGGGATCAGCAGCTGCTGCCGCTCCTCATTACGAGGATGGCGGCGCCGCACTCGTAGAGACGGTGCTGCGGCGCTTCCCTGGCCACGCGGCTGCACATGCGGGAGGGCAGCCGCAGGGGCAGCAGTTGCACTACTGGGACGCTAGCAGCAGTGCGCTTCAGCACCCGCAGCCTCCTTCCACCTCTGCAGGCGGTGCGACTGCCTCTACAGTCGAGGCAGCGGGCAGCCTCGACCACCAGAACCACCCGCCACCGAGAGGCCGCCAGCAGGCTCACGGGGAGGTGCCTGCTGCTGCTGGCCCTGCTACCGCCAACATGCAGCAGCAGTCGGACAGCGACGACAACAACAGCAATGACGACCAGCGCCTTTCTCCCCAACCACCACCCCCGGAGCGACCCGTGGGTCCGTCGTCATCTGCCGTACGGTTTTCTTCCGTACGGCGGCGGTACGAAGAGCCGTCCGTACCTCATCGCGTTGTTCCTACTGCTGCTGCGGCAATTTCTGTGGGTAATCGGCGCTCTTCTTGGGCCTTATCTGGATCCACAACGGGGCTTAGCACTCGACGGTTGCTGACGTCATCCGTGGCGGGATTCCAGAGCAGCAACGTCACCGCCAGCAGCAGCAGCAGCAGCTGCAGCAGCAGATCGAGCAGTGCTGGCAGCACCACTGACAGAAGCAGCGCTGGCGCCATGATGATGGCTGGCATGGGCAACTTAGCCTACAGTGGCCACAGCAGCAGCAGCCTACGGCAGCTGACTTCGTCGCCACTAGCGGCGGCAGCTGGATTGCCCCCAGTGCAGCCACTGGAACGCCCCGAGTCAAAGCAACTCCTTCGCCAGCAGCAGCAGCAGCAGCGGCAGCCACAGCAGCAGCAGCGGCAGCCACAGCAGCAGCCTCAGCAGCAGCGGGAGCCTGCAGCCCAAGCTCCAACCTCCCAGCGTCAGGAGCCAACCTCTTCCCTGTCCGAGCGAGTGCGCTTTCCAAGCATCCTGAAACGCACGGCAAAGAGCACCGTTGGCGGTGTGAAGTCCGTACTGCAGGCCCTGGTACCGCGGTCTGGGAAGCCCTAGGCAGCCGAGTACGGCAGGCGCTGCATGTGTGTACGACATAAACCGTCATCGTTGTGGGGGCCACTACGACATCAACTGTCACCGTTCACGCACCTTGCCATTGCTGCATGGACCGAGGAGCGCTACACGCTTGGGATGTGCTGAGAGACCGGCGATTAAAGGAATGCGAGGACGTGAGGAGTGCGGGGAGTGCGAGGAATGTGAAGAAGAGACGGCGAGGGGGTTTCAAGCTGTCCTTAGGACGCTTCCAGGAATACTTTACTGGTTGCGGCGCGTAATGCAAGCATATGCATGCCGCTCCCCTGAGGGAATGTGTTACAATAACTGGCCGCGAGGCGGAACGTACTGTGATTGTCGAGTGTTAAAAAAAAGAGCTGGCCGCGAGGAATAACGTATTGTGATCAACGGAAGATGAAGTCCCCACCGAAAACGTTACAAGAGAAGAAGATTATGCTGCTGGCATTATGTGTAGGCGTGTCCGTGGGTGTATGTGTTAAACCAGCTGTATATATATGGCACGTGTCAGACCCCAGCATCGTGTGTGTTTAAAGAATCAGCTGAGCCGCGCAACAGCACTGGCTGCAGTGTGACAGGAAAGCGTGTTTGGGCGCGGGGTGTGTGTGCGGGTGAAAGTTTACTAAAATAAAGGCATGCTTCGCGCTATGTGGTGTTCAGCTGTTCGTTATGGTCCCGGCGACCTGGAGTAGGGTGGGTGGGATGTTGCCCATCCGCCATATTCCTCCTATTCCTGAACTGCTGGCATGGGGGGCTGTTCGAGGCGTTTGGCGAACCCAGGTGTGAGTCTCCCCTGCTGTGATTTCCTGTGTGTTTCTTTGTTTGCAACAAATGATGTTGTCCTGCTAGAACAGCCGTGAACACATGTGATGAGCCGCCGGCAGCAGGTCCTGTACCAGGTCCTGCTGGGCGCCAAAACACACGTACCTTGTGTCCAGACGGTGTACTTACCCTACAGAGAGGGCGCCACCATGAGGCGTTGTTTGATGTTTCGGCGGCCAGGCTTCCGCATTGGGTCTTAGTGACCCATGGGTCTCACATGGCCCTTTTCGTGGATTCTGGTATATGGAGTCCTGGTTACTCGCTGCTATACGCTCGTTGAGTACTGTTTGTTGGCGGGGGCTGTGTGTCAGCCGCTGCCATCACACTTTGCTGTTGTTGCACTTGTTTCCTGGTTCGTTAGTGTTGTCAACTGCCAGCTGTCAAGGGCTTTAGAGTTTTCGGTCGCCAAAAGCTTTAGTACTTTAGCCGTCAAAGGCTTTAACGTAATCAACTGTCAAAAGTTTTGGCCTTTCAGCTGTGTCCTCTTTGGGGGTGCGCCTACCCGGCATGCGTCACCTGTCATTCCGGATGCCATGTATGAGAGCGGAAGACGTGAATGTAAGGGCGGCTCTATTTGGGCATGTTGGGGCACGGGCGGGGGCATGCAGTTGGGATGTTTGGAGTTATGCAGGCTGGGGAGCGAATGCGAGATCATGGGTACGCCGCACAGCCCTTGCAGGGGCGGTAAGGTGCGTGGGTGGTCACATCTCATCAGCCTCAGCGAACCTAACGGCGGGTTATGTTCAGGTTTCGTTGAACCTTTGTGTGCCGTGTCGTGTGGGGGAAAGCCGAGCATGCGATATGGAGAGGGGGGGGGCGCCGCCGGGGAAAGCCGGCTTAAATTTCATCCTGAGGCGGAAATCTTCATCAGTAAGGCGCCTGTCGCCATTTCGTGATTGGTAGCATTTGGTACCTGCGCTTACTCACTTGTGGGGTTGTATTGTCTTAATGTGAATGAGGGCAGTTTCGAGGCGGGCGTAACAACGCACGTTGGCGCAGTTGTGTGAGGGCGGTGTTTCTCCTGTGGGTTGCCCGACTGCAACGTCCTCCTACTGACAGGGCTCTCCTTGTGTTGCCCGGTGATGCGGGCTACATGCATGCACGCACGCACTGCTCAAGAGTCTTACTTGCAGCAGGTCGGAACGCTTGCTTGCAGCCGTGTTAAGCTGCTGCTATCTGCATGCCGGCTCCTTACTCGCTCCCTGTACAGGACCACGCAATCGCATGCTGCTGCGGGTGGGCTGAATGATTCCCTGCTGGCACAGTGGTCTGGTTGGTTGGTTGGTTGGTTGGTTGTTATGTACTGTTTCCCCCAGAGTATCAGTGCTTACTGTTACTGTTTCCTTCCTGCAGGGTTTTTAGCAGCACTGGATTTGCCTTTTGAGTGGTTTCGTTGTTTGCTGTTGAGAAGAAGAGGTAGTTGCTTGGACATTGCACACGCTTTCGTGCATCTGCTCGGTTATGGACTTGGCTGGGGATGGAGGCACAGCTGCATATGAGTGTTGTCGTGGCCTTACTCAGCTGTGTTGTGAATAACGATGGATGGATTGATGAGCGACAATCACCAATTCTCCGGGTGATATGAGGGGGATATTCTTTGGTGTGGTTTGGGTTACAGCGGCTGCTAGGGATGGGGGTCCCGGAGGCGCTACTGCTACAAAGTAAGCTATGAGGGGTGGCACGGCACTTGTTGTATGGGTGTGTGTGTTGCTTATTATAATTGTAATAAAGTTCTTAGTAGAATCAGTACGAAGACAGAGCAGCTCTTCAGGCGAGGAGTGAACCGTGCTGGTGCCGATGCCGTATGTGTGTTTGCCCCTGTTGCGCTTGCTGTCATTGCAAGTAGTCAGGGCTTGCCAGGTCTGTTCAACAGCACAACTAGGGCTGTTATGAGACAATACAATAAAACTTACATATCCGATTATCCGTACACTAGGTTTTTGCGGTTTGAGTGCCTGGCTGTATGAGGAAAAGGGTCCTGAAGCTGCGGAGGAGGAGCAGCTGTGGATCGTGGCAAGTAAGGATCGTGTAGTGTGTGTGTATGGTCGGCTACGGCAAGGTAGGGTCTGTACCTACCATACCCTCTCGAGCGAGGGCAAGTAGAGAGGAGTATCGATTAAGAAAAGAAACTGGACCGCGTGGCATCATGGACTGCATCACGGGTGGTACCACTGGTTGGCTCGCTGGCTGGTTGTGTACCTAGGTAGCGGATCCCTTACAGCAGGAGAGGCTAGGTGTGCGGCGGCTGCGAGGTGGCTGGCGGGGGTCCCCAGGAAGCGCAGAGCTGCGCCGCTCGGACGCTGCTCGGGAGTGAACACATCGACACGGGTTGCATGTGACCGTTGTGTGATCTATACATTGTGTGACCACTACTGGTGCGGAGTACCATACGGGTTCAAGGGGGGTTGTGTGATGCTACTGCAGCTGCCGAGCTCAGATGGTGATACAATTACTATTGCTAGATGGGCGTCTGCCTTTTAGGCACGGATCAATGCGTGGCAGCTTTGCAAGGCAAGGCATGTCGTGACCCAAAACATCGAAGACGACGGGAAGGCTGCTGCTGCTGATGTCCCATCTGTCGTACTACGCATTGGTGAATCGTGATTGTATGGTGACAGTCGGAATGAGGGGGAAGGTTCTCACAAGCTGTGAGGCGAGAGGCGCGTCGCGTATAAGGGTTGTGTTTTGGTGGTTTTGAATTGTGAGCCTGAACTGTACGAAAAAATGTACGGCACATGGAGGCAGGAATATATGGCTGCCGTATTACCGGTATTACGGGTTTACGGCAGAAAACTTTGTTGTTATGTTTTGTAACAAGCCACATTCAAAGCATCGTACACATGTACTTATCAGGCCAGTTCGGAAGCTATGCTCTGCAAGAACCAAACCTACTCCCCCCTCGTTCCAACGGACCCCCTAGCGACCTCGCCTCAGCCCCAGAAGAGCCGCATCGTCCTCTGAGTCCTCCTCCTCCTCCTCCCCATCTTCCTCCTCCATCTCCTCCTCCCGAACCCATCCTGCAACTGCAGCCACCCCGCACCCTCCCACCCCACCAATAGCGGCGGTGATTCCACAGACCTGCCCGTGCGCGTATGTGGCGTGAGGAGGCTGCGCTTGCTGACCCATGGGTCGCTCGGCTGCTCCTCCAGGCTGCTGCTGCTGCTGCTCCGAAACCCGCACTCGCTCTTGCTGCACCTGAGAGCCCTGCTGCTGGGAGTAAGGCAGCGGTTCCCGCTGCTGCTGCTGCTGATGCGGTGCTGCTGCAGGTGGCGCATGTTGGTGCGAGGGGGGTAGGGGCGACAGCCGCTGCGGCTGCTGCGGAGGCTGCTGCTGCTGCGGAGGCGGCTGCTGCGGAGGCGGCTGCGGCAGTGCTGTTGGCTGGGTGGGCGGTGGGGGCGGCGCAGTGGCTCGCCCCGCGGGCTGTGTGTCTGCCAGCAGCAGGTCCTGGGGTGGGGGTGGGGGTGGGGTCGGGAGCACATCAGGTGGAGGCAGGGGCAGTGGGGCAGTGGGGGAGAGGGGGAGAGGGGGAGAGGGGGAGAGGGGGCATGAGGGGCTTCAAACGACATGAGAGCTGCGCGCGACCAGGCGCAGGCACACGCTGAGGGGGGTGACAGCCCCGTGCGCCCCCAACCCGTGCGCCCCCAACCCGTGCACCGATGCCACATGCCGTACGCCCCACCCCCACCCCCGCCACCCCTCGCTCCTCTCCCACACCTTACCTCCAGAGGAGTGCCGCCCAGACTCGCATAGGAGCCGCACCCTGCTCCTCCACCCCCTGCTCCTCCGCCTCCTCCTAGCCCCCAACCCACTTCCAACCCAAACCCCAGCACGCCGCCGTCCGCAGCATCCAGCGTGGCATCCGCCTCCACCTCCTCGCCCGCCTCCCCCTCCACTGCCGTACCACCACCTCCACCTCCACCTCCAGCAGCTGCTGCCTCCCTGGTCCCCCTAGCAGCCACCTCCTCCCCCCTGCCACCACTGCTGCCACAGCCCCCCGGCTGGAAGGGGTGGCCCCCGCCCCCGCCCCCGCGCTGCTCCCCCCCGTCCACCTGCATGGGGTCTGCGGGGGCCGGTGCGGCAGGTGGGGGCAGCCCGGGTGCGGGGCGCGGACCACCTGCCACCACCGCCTCCTCCTGCCCTGCTGCTGCTGCTGCTGCCTGTGCGGCTGTCCTCGGCAGCGGAGCAGCGGGTTGGGCGGTGGTGGTGGCGGTGGTGGCAGTGGTCGGTCCCAGTCCCGCGAGGAGGCCCTGCCCTTGCCGCTGCCGCCGCTGCTGTTCCGCCTCCGCCTGTCCCTGCCCCTGCTGCTCCCCTTCCTCCGCCTCCTCTTCCCCCTCCGTTTGCAGAGCCTCCGCCTCCGCCTGCGGTTGGGAGGTTTGGGGGGCACACGGGGTCAACAACCCCAACCCCCGCTTTGGACAGCAGGTTACGCGATACTAACCCTTCAGTCGAGTAATGCTACACACATTGCCCCCCCCTCCCCCCTCCCCCCCCCTCCCCCCTCCCCTCTCCCCCCCCACCAGCTCCTGCTGTGCCGCCCGCAGCTGCTGCTCCAGCTGCTGTATGCGAGTGTGCTGCGCCACCAGCCGCTCCTTCTTGGCGTCAAGAACCAGAGCGAACTGGGGGGAGGGGGGTTAAGAGGAAACAGCTAACTGACCGGGTGTGTGGGGGGTAGGGGGGTTGTGTGTTAGGGGGGAGAGAGGGGAGAGAAGAATACCCAATTTGTTGCGTTGTGTTAGGTGGGGGGGGAGGAGGGGGGAGGCAAAGAGGAGAAGACCTCGTTGTTAGTGGCAGTGGCAACCCGTGACGGAAGCCCCTCCCGACCCGTGGTGAGTGCCTCGGGGCGAGGAGGGAGGAGGGTGGAGGGAGGGAAGGGTGAAGCCGGGAAGAGGGGCTGGCGGTGCTCTCTTCACCCCACCTCCATCCCCACTCTCAAGGTTCGTTAGCGGTACCTTCCCGCCTGTCCCTCACCCCCCCATGGTTTCCTACCGTTTGGTATGGTCTTTGACCCCCCTCTACCCCCCCCCCCCAAACCTTAACATGCAGCTCCCTCAGCGCCCCCTTGTGTTCCTCCGCGGCCGCCTGCAGCTCCCGCCGGCAGCCCGCCAGCGCACCCGACTGCGCCGCCAGCTGGGAGTCCAGCTGGCGACAACACACCTGCAGGGGGGGGGGGGGGGGAGGGGCAAGGGGGGAGGGTTAAAGACCATACCATAACGAAGGAAGCAAACAGGGCAGGGGGGAGGGAAGGCGGGGAGGAGAGGGGAGAGTAAGGGGCTGAACTGCGAGGGAGGGAGAGATCCCTCCTCCTCCTCCCCCTCCCCCTCCTCACCATCAGCCGGTAGCACGACTCCCACACGGTGCCCAGCATCTCCTCCAGCGGCCCTCCCTGGCCCTGCCCCTCCCCCGGCGGGGGCAGCGGGGTGAGGGACAGGCTCTGCTGCGCGGCCGTGTCCATGCCAACAGCCTGGGGCGACCAGGTCCAGTAGAGCTGCGGGTGGGAGGGAGCGAAAAGAAGGATATCCAGTGTGTTGTGTGCCAGGGAGGGAGGGGTGGGGCCAAGGGAGGAGGGAAGCCGGGCTGCAGACGACCACGGTTGGGTAGCGGGCGTAAGGGGAGAACAGAGAAGGCGGTGGAGGTGGAGGTGTGCGAGCGGGAGACTTTGGCTGGGGATGGAAGAGGGGGGGAAGGGGGAAAGCGGGGGTTCGGATGGTTCGGATATGGGGGCGTGGGTGGGTGAGGCTGGAGTGAAGATGTTGTGCAGTCCCCGGTCAGTGCGATGGTTGTGAATATGTAGATGCGCAAAGCTGCATATGTTGCCTTTCCTAAAGTCCCATTGACAGACATGCTTTACCTTCATGACTTAAGGCTTCGGGCAACTAGTTCTTCGGGCTGGGAATGAACCATCGTGAGACGTAGCCATGCCGCTCTTACCGCCCCAGTATCCGGGTTGAACTGGAAGTTGACATCAGCTGGTTGTCCTTCGCAAGCAAGAGCCCGCTGGGCAAGCGGAATCCACAAATCCGGTTTAATCCAGCGGGTAGGAGCCCTGAGTCCTGTTCAGGCGATGGCAGGATGTTGGGGCAAGTACAAGGCGCTACTACGGAAGGCAATGACGCATGAGAAGATGGACCAAAATCGCACGCTAATGGAGTTCAAGGTTTGCGACAGGCAAGTCTCTTAGAGGGAGCGGTGCTCGGCGAAAGTGCGGCAAATATGGCAATCATAACAAATACAAGTCATGAATGTGACCTTATAACCAACATCGGCTTCCACTTGCCCTTGCCAACAAAGGTCCTCATGCTGCGAGCGTGTAGGAGTGTAACATCGAAACCAAACTCATCCACGTCAGGGCCCCAACGAACCAGGCAAAAACATTTGCCTGAAGGCGTGTCCAGGGCACGTGCATATAGCCTTGACAGGGATGCATCCATTGTTACAAACGGGCAAGGCTTGTGACTCAGCCAAATTAAAGAACAGTGAAAAGGAATGCTTGTATTTAGCATGTACGATAACAGTCCACTCGCCCTTTTAAATATGCATCCTGGTATTGCTCACGCGTCACAGGCGTCCATTCGCCTGCCGTACTAGCTATGTAGTAAACATGCCGGTAAGAATACATCATCTAAGCATCCCTCACGTAGTATGCCTTACGTTTATGTTGTGACCAGGACACTCAGCAAGCTGGATCCGACTCATCTATGTAAGAAGCAGGGGACGACCGCTTGCACTTTACTGCGTCGCTTCGCTTTTGCAAACTCCTCGTGATTGACAGTGGCTTAGGCACCGTAGCTGCACGGGTGGCCATGTCGGTTACTGAGTATGTGACGCGCTTGACTATTGTGTCTGCACATGACCTTCCAAAGACAGATAGGATTTCGACTATTGATCCTTATGTCGTGATAGTTGTTAATGGACAGAAATTCCAGACGGCAGTGAAGGACGACAATGAAAATCCTGTATGGGATGAGAGCTTCTACCCGAGGTTGCAGAAGGGTCAGACAAGCATACTGGCGGGCAAATTAGAGCTACACCTTTATGACGAAGATACGTTTTCAGACTCCTACGTCGCCAAATATGAATATGACTTAGCCAGCCTGACGGCAGCCCAGCTGAACGTCCCATTGACCTTCAACCTGGAATACGTAAAGGACAAGTACAAGTCGCAGGGCAAAAGCCCTACCGTTACGATTAAGCTCGTGGGGCTGGTGCAGAGCTTCAACTCTATGCGAGCCATGTTTGGGGCCATGCCAGGCTTCATCACCGACGACGTCAACAGTGCCTGCTACATACCCATCCAAGATACCCAGGGTGTCATCTACGTGGGCGTCGAGTATGAGAAGTCTGGCAAATTTGACTTCAAGGTCTACGTCACCCGCCCAAACTGGCCCATCTTCCTAGACATGCTCGTCATGTCTGGTTGCCAAAGCACAAAGGTCCGCATGCAGGGTACCGGTTAGGGTTACCTCCAATCAGCAATGTACCGAACTTTCAGTCGCTGTGCTTGTATGACCTGCCGCTGTCCTTGCTTCGCCTTTCCTTCACCGCCGTACGAAATGCCTTGACCCACATGCATGCAGCGTCCGCGCAGCGGCAGTTGCATCCAAACGCTACCCCTACTCTCTCACTACCCTAATCTACTCCTCCACGCCCTCTCCGTTTCGCCTAGCCGTCACACTCACTCCCATACCTTCCTCCTCGTCCTCCTCCTTGTCCTCCTCCATGTCCCCCTCCTCCCCCCCCACCAGGTGCTGCGGCGGCTGCACCGCGAGGGCAGGCAGGTAGCCCCGGGGCTGGTGGCGTACGAGGAGCTCAAGCTGGACGACGTGCCGCTGGGGGTGGACTTCAACAACCTGGGCCTCGTGCTCTTCGACTCGCAGCCGCTGGCCTGCACCAACGCCAACGCGGTGGTGACGGCGCACGGCTGGCGCGGAGCCATGACCTTCAAGCAGGTGGGTTGCGAGGCTGCGGGCGGGAGTGGGGTGGGGTGGGGAGTAGTAGGATTGGGTAGAGTGTGCTGCGAAGAAGCAATTGGAGGAGGGGGTAAGTGGGAAGTGGATATGCCGCATGGGCTAAAGAAATGGGGCGGGATTGCGTACAGTACCACACCGAACCATAGGAAACGACAGGTTCGGGCTAAAGAAATGGGGATAGGAGTAGGGTGAGGGTAATAAGGAGAGCGGCATGACACCAGCATGTGTCGGGTAACCTGCGCTGTCGCCGCAAGCACAGGCGGGCGCGGCCGAAAGCGCAGACGTGTATGCAGGGTGGAGGGTAGGCGGGGGAGCCGTGCTCCCTGACACGTGCGTTTGGGGGCCCCACATTGTCCTGGAGGGTGCCTCCTCACTCCTGACTCCTGTTCCTACCCCAGCCAGGCCCTGTACCACCACCTGTACCCTGTACCACCACCTACCGCTCCCTGACTCCTCCCTCGCCCCATGCACCTCTTGTCAGGCTTGCAAGACGTTGCACAACGTTGAGGTTGACCTCCACAACGAGGTGGGTGGGGTCACCAGCCCATTACCGCGGGTACCGGTACGTGGGCTGGGGAGGGGAGGGGCGCCATGCCTGGGGCCAGGGCTGTGCATGTCAGGCAGGCTGCCCCCGTTCACCCCCTGCCCCACCCCCTCCACCTCCCCCCAGGAGATCTACATGACGGTGGACCCGCACGAGGCGCTGCTGCTGGTGGACTACGACTCGGACGACGCGGACATCAAGCTGGCGGTGCTGGCGCACCCCGCCACCGCCGACAAGGGCTACGACCTCACGGTGCGCGGGCAGAGCGTCAAGAAGACCAGCGAGCTGTACGTGCCCGCCCGGCCCAAGCTGGGGGGCCGATTCCAGGTGGGTCGGGGGCGGGTGCGGGGGTGGGGGTGGGGGGGTAGAGAGGAAGGAGTGGGGGGAACTGGAATCCCAATCCCCCCCTGGACCGACGCATCATGTCAGGCGGGTAGCATGGTTGTATGGGTGGGTTGAGCGGGTGGGAGCAGGGCGCTGCATGCGTGACACCGCATGCCAGGGCTGGGCAGCCACCCTTGCTTTACGCGCCTAGCTTCTTGTCACTTCCCTTTCCTACTGTTCCCTCTCCCCGTGGTTTCATATGTTTTGGTCTTTCCTTCTGACCCCCCTCCAGGTGACCCGGTTGTACGAGCTGGACGACTTGCAGTACGGCACCCGCTTCGAGGACATCGAGATCCACCGCTTCCAGCTCTCCAACCCGCGGCACTACACCATCCAGGGCATCACCCGCATCATGGGGTGAACGCGGCAGCCCGTGGTCCCCCCCTCGCCCGCAACACCATGCGGGGCTAGGCGTGGCTCTGCTCACAGCTGCGTGGTTGCCCCGTCATGTCCCCGTTACCTTGCTGACGATGACGTGACTGGGCTGGTCGAAATATGGTGTACCGCCTTTTGATGACCTGGGCTGTGTACTACCGAATAAAAACTTCCTACTTATACTACTACAGTAACGACTCCAGCAGACGACTCGAGCAGAAGGGCGGGTTGTGGTGGCTATTGAGAGCAAGGTGGTTGGGTTGCGGAGAACACGGCGACAATATGCATGCAAAGGGTTGGGGGGGATTTGTGAAGGAACACGAAAGCCACCGGGTGGCGGTTGACGGACCCGCAGCTGTCGCCGTTCGTGGTGTCCGAGTGCGACCCGTGTGCGGCGGTGGCGGTGGCGGTTGCAGCAATCCCCTGGGAACATCTCCTGGTTGAGGCTGGTTAAGGCCTGGGCGGCACCGGCAGGGGAGAGCCTGCGGGAGTTGGAGTTGACTACTATGTACGAACGTAATGTATACCCGGTTGCCGAGCGCGGTTACCATGCATGGTGTGTGCTTAGCTATGGCCAGTCGGCATTCCCTATACCTCTTCATGATGCAACGCACGCTCTGGGTTTCGGCGCCTGTTGTCGAGGCGTGCTGCTTTCCTCTTGACGTCCGGGCGTAGTGGGGCGTGCGGAGGAGGAACGAAGTGAGGGCCGGTCCAAGGAGGAAACCAATTACGTGCTTTGGGTGAGTCGTGGAGGCTGCGGTGTGTGGGCAGTTCGTTTTCTAGGGCCTGGACTAGTGACAACGGCGACGTTCTTCCTTGAATATCAAGCCGATGAAGGCTAATAGTTTGCACGACAAGGGATCTGTGCTGTTGTTGGTGTGGTATAGGGATTTTTGGTTGCCGTTGTCCTGTGTATCACCCCCGTCTCGCCTCAATGCGGGCTCCTAATGCGCGCGACTGCCTGCTTCAGAGTTGGGACTTTTGAGACGTGAGCTCCCTAGGTGCGTGTTGATTTGCATTCTCTTCACTTTCCTTTTGCATGCATGCTTGCTTGCACGCTGTCCTCCGTGCAGAGGTGCTTCACCCTGGTCTGTTGCCGGGCGTATACTTCCGGGGGTTGTACGGCTGTGGTGTCCTTACAATGCGCATACCGGCTAGCTTGGAGGAGTTGTGGCTTCTCTTCAGGGCCACGGGCAGGGATTTCTGAGCAAGACTTTCTTAGGGGCTGTCGTATCACCCGCCTTTGAGGGTGCTACAAGGGCCCTACGAGGGCAAAGTAAGATGAGGCGTGCGGCACCTTTCCAGCGAACGTCGTAATACGGTAATATACCTAGGAGTTTTTCATTCCATGTGACCATTATGCTTGCGGCTTTACTGGGTCAACACAGGTTACTTTCGGGGCGCTTGCCTCCAGTGGCTCTTCACATCGTGTTCCGCCCGTTGCCAGTGCTGTTTTTGCCGTACATCTGTGGGGTGAAACATGAACGTTGGGTACACAATACTCGCCCATTTAGCATGCAGGGGACATGTCCAAGGGGAGGTATGTACGATACATTGGCGTACGGTTTCCATCACTCCAGAGATGCTCCCCGGGCTCGTGGTTGTCGTGAACCATCTCTCTTGGTTGCTAGGCGCGTTCTGCGACCATAGCTGTGACGATGTTGGGTCAATAATGGCGGTCAGGTAATATTGTTGTCTTCCTGCCTCCTCCGGTAGCATCCCACATCTGATCTGATGCGTTTGCCTGGTGGCAGCAGTAACAAGCTGCGCATGGCGCGTGCCGGAGAGGCTCTGGTGCTTTCCTCGGGCGTTGTTCCTGTACGGTATCTTGTTACACATAAGAGGCGTTAAAGGGGAATGTGTGGGGCGGCTGCTGGTGGCCCCGCCCGCATGTGGAGATTCGAGTAGCATTGTCTTGGAGTGTAAACATGCATTCGCAACCTTTCTACCCCAGCACGTCCGTGCGTATTGTCGCCCCGTGGATGCATTTGAGACTTCCACGCCCTGGCCCGCTCTACCGAGATGGGCGAAGTCTAAGCTGAAGGCCTCTTACGGCTGTGGCCCACCGGAAAGGGCAGGAGTCCAAGAGATGTACATGCTGGGTCACTACGGAAATCGAAGAAGGCTTTTGGTAGCTAGCCCAATGCAAAGCCGACTTAACTGTGCTGGGCAGGATTGGCATCCCAACTACCGGTGCTTAGATGTCAACTGCACCGGTAATCGCTTAGCGTGCTTTTCTAAGCAGAATTGAAACGCATGTAGGCGCTTACCGTGGACATGTGCGGGCGTATCCCATTGGAGAGCAACGGGCATCGCCTCGCATTGCAAGCCGACCCTTTGGTCCGCGGGACACAATCGCAAACAACATAACAGTTTGATTTGGCTAACATATACTGCGGAGTTGTAATATTATGGAGTGGGGGAGGAGTGATAACGGATTCAATGTCTGCTCGCAGCATACTACAGCGTTCGAGGCTCTCTGGGAGGAGGGGAAGTAGTCGTGCGTCGTCGCTGGTGATCAGGCATAGACTTACATTACATAAAAACAAACGAACTGATTGCTCTTTGCGCTCTAGTTACCCAAGCCTTTGCCAAATGCGATAACATTCGTTTCTCCATACAGTGCGACTTTCCATAAACGTTGCCATGGCTTTCTCTTTTGGCGCCGCTGCACCAGCAGCCACACCTTTTACGGGTGGCTTATTCGGAGCACCTGCTGCCAGTTCAGCATCTGCTTTTGGCGCCAGCACTGCTCCAGCGTTTGGGGCTTCCTCCGCAGCAGCTTTTGGAACTAGCACAGCACCAGCATTTGGTGCTCCTTCTGCTACTACTACTACACCTGCTTTTGGCGCGGCGCCCGCAGCCGCGTCACCATTTGGAGCACCAGCTCCTGCAGCAGCAAGTCCTTTTGGCGGAACCGGCACAACTTTCGGATCCACAAATATTTTCGGGCAGGCGGCGCCAGCTCCGGCAGTATCAAATGCGTTGGTCCCTTCTGGTGGGCTTTTTGGCGCGCAGCCGCAGCAGCAACCTGCGGCCCAGGCTCGGCCGGGGTTGAATTACAAAACCAAGTTTGAGGAGTTGCCTCCCCAAATGCAGCAAGAGCTGCAGAAAATGCAGTAAGTCAGCTTGCCCACAGCTTGGTCTCGTATCTTGCATTCGGGTCTCCTGACGTACAGAGATTGCTGAGTGGACAGAAGGGGAACGTCTCCCGCAGAAGCGCGGGCTTTCACGGAGACAGCATGCACGAAAGGGGGGAGGGTGTGCTAAGAGGGAGGCTGGGAACCCTGCGAGGGCACAACCCATCTTGCCGCCCTGGCCTGTATGGATCCAGCACCAACCATGCGGACATGAGGGGGTGGTGTGTTTCCATGTCGAGGACACCGGTGCCTCCCAACACCCCACAGTTGTTCTACACGGTTTACTGTGACCCTAACGGTGAAATCGCGTGCCTTCCGTACTCAGGCAAGAGATCAGCTCGTACCGGGACGAGTGTAAGGCCCTAGACAACGACTCGCGGCTCCATGACAACGTCAGCATAAAGCAGGTCAGGGGGAGGGGCAACGTGTACGGCACGACACGTGTGTGGGCTCTACCGGGGTCCGGGTTCACGCAACACTGCTGGGTGGCTCTTCGTCTCCCTGCGTTTCCCTTTGGCCTCGAGCACTACCAGACATGCACACACACGCCACCTCATCACTGCCCTCTCCCCCCCCTTGTGGCTTCATGTGGAAGTATCTGCCTTCATCAACGCCCGGTCTCTTCAGTATCTCCTCCTCTTCCTCCCTCCTCCTTTCCTAAACCCATTCCTATTTAGCCCTTGAACCTTACCTCCCACCCCACCCCATGGTCAGCTAATCTCTTCCCCCTTACCCCCACCCTCCCACCCCCTCTCCAGAGCCTGGACTCCGAGACTGCTGCGCTGCGTCAGACCATGCAGAGCCTCTACCAGGCGGTGCTGGGGGAGGAGGAGGGGCTGCTGGCTTTCCGGGAGGTGAGGGGGCTGCGGCGGAAGAGCAGGAAAGCCGCCGCGAGGCAACAAACAGACGCACGACATGGGGGGTAATTTGGAAACAGAATCCGCATTACGACATGGGGGGGCGGAGGGGGTTACAGTAGGCCAAATACAAATGAGGCCAAACCAGTTGGGGAGGGAGGCGGCAGGGTACCAAAACAAGTTTCATAGGACAGGTGTCACAGTGACGCAGGGGTATACCGGTGTGTTAAAATAACTGGCCGCGAGGCGAAACGTACACCGGTATACCGGTATACCGGTGTGTGTAGTTGAGTAGAAACAAGAGCAAGCAGTTGGGATAGGTTCGCATGTGAACCGCGAGTATAGTCAAAACAGAGGCAAAGCAGAGATTAACAAACCTGAAACGTAACTCAATAACTGCTTAAAACGCGGGTGCTGGATGTAAGAAGAGTGGCGGGTTGACGACGCATGTCGGTGATGCTGATGGTGTCGGGAAAAACTAATTACTGCTGAGTACCTAGCCCGCTGACCAACTCGACGCCGGGAGCCCCCGCTCTGGTCACGCAGACGAGACACCACAATGCTGTGCGTGCGTGCGTGCAAACGCGCATTGCGTACCTGCGAGCAAAAGCGCCGTAGTCAGCACCAGTACCAGCAGCTGCAGTAATGCGAGTAATGCCATGCGCAGGAACATGAACCAGAGCGAGGAAAAGGGGGACAGAGTTAGAGACAAAATGGACCTAGATCGAAGTGCGAAATGTACGGCAAAGCAGGATGGCATGTGAGACAGGACGAACGCAAGCACAACACAACATGAATGCAAATGCAGAAAACAAAGACAACACAACCGGCGCGAGTGGTCGAGCAGGCACTGAGCTGTGGCTGCAGCGGTCAGCTGAACCGCACTGAGAAGTAGCGTTGTCTAAGAGCAAGACGACTGTAGCGTTGTCTAAGAGCAAGACGACGGTGCAATGGGATGCGTGCAACGAACAGGCAAAGGCCAGCAGAGGGGCACGGCCGTGTGTGATGTGGTGCAGTGCAGTGGGTATACCGGTGTGTGTGTGGGGTGGCTGGTACCGGTAGCGGGGCACCCGGGGACTGGTGGGGTGCGTGCTGGGGTGGAGGGGTGGAGGGGCGGGAGCTGGGAACCTACGTGGTAGCGGCCAGGGAGGGGGCGGCCAGGGAGGGGGCGGCCAGGGAGAGGGCGGCACATGGGTCGCGTCTCACGAGCTGCGCTTCCTTACCTTGCCTGCCCCGCTGCTCACCCCCCCTCCCCCAACAGCGTGTCATGGTGTTACTTCGGAGCACGGAGATGGCGATCCGCCTCTACCAGCGGTCCAAGCTGTGGCGGGAGATGTCTCAGGCGGCAGGTGGGGCGGGGAAGGACGGGGGCGGGGCGGACTGAGAGGTGACGTGAGGTGAGGTGAGGGAGCAGACATTGCAGGCGGCAGCTGGGAGTAGAGGTGCGGAAGCGGGGGTTTGACTGGGGCTCCCGGGGGCTGGCCTCCGCTTGTGAGGGTGTGCGCTTCTTCCCGCCCCGCCCCTCCCCTTGGCCCCGACCGTCCCAGCTGCGGCAAGCCGGCAGCTCAACATCAGCGCTCCCTGTCCGTCCACATGTTGCCCTTGCCATCCCGCCTGCCCGTACTCCCGCCCCGCCCGCCTGCCTGCATGCCTTTCCCACCCGTCGCCCCGTATGTCGTTTGCTCGTCTTCCCACCCCCCCAGGCAGCCAAGCCGCCCAGCAGCAGCAGCAGCAGCTGCTGTCCTCGCAGGCGCTGCAGGAGCAGATCAGCCAGCCGGCGGTGCTGCCCAACCCCTACGTGGGGCTGGCGGTGAGGGGGTTCGGGGACGCGATGGAGCAGTACCACAAGTGAGGGGGGGTGGGGGGTGGGGGGAGGGAGTGGCGGTGAGAGGGGTGCATGGGGAAGGAGTGAGGGGAGGGGGAGGGGGACACAGCAAGGGAGGAGAGGCGTTAGGGAGGAGCAAACAGAGATCCAACCAACACGATCAATCAGCAACCGCACAGCCAACCAACCGCAACCTCCAACCGCCGCCACAGGTGTATATCCGAGTTGGAGCGGGTGATGCCCGCTGCTGCGATGTACGGCGGTGCCGGCGGCGGTGCTGACGAGGCCGCTGCGGTGTGCTCGCTGCCCACCCTGGTGGCGCATATGCACGACTACTTCGTGCACGTGGCGGCGAGGCTGGAGAGGCTGCATGGGGAGGTGAGGGGGAGGGGGGTGAGTGGGGGAAGCGGTTCCGTCCCTTAACGCCTGTGCCTCCACTCCTTCCAACCTGCCCAGCCCCTCCGCCGCCTCCTACCCGCATCGCTTTGCCCTGCCATGCGGTGTCATGCTTCCTCTCTTCTGCCCCTCTCCCCCAGGTGACTCGCTCCCGGGAGGCCTGTCTGGCTCAGCTCCGAGCGCGGGGGGACTACTCGGACCCCTTCGCAGACGCCCGGGTGCTGCACCACCTGCCACCCGCCAGCAGCAGCGCTGGCGGCAGGCTGGGACCCATGGGTCGCTTGCCGGCCGCGGACTTTTACAGCTTTGGCGGGCCGGCGGTCAGTGGAAGCAGCGGCAACCCCGGGGGCGCCGGCGGGGGTGCGCTGCTTGCACTGGGGGCGTCGAGTGGGGTGACGGGAGGCGGTGGCGGGGGTGCGGCGGGGGGTAGCTCGGTGCCCGCCTCCCCGGCTCCGGCTGCCTCGGGTTTGGGCGCGGCGGCGGCGACCAGCGGGACACCCGCGCCTGCCGGGGGCGGCCTGTTTGGTGAGTGGAGCTGCCCGTGCGGGGGGAGTTGCCCTCTGGGGGGATTCACCGGTAGCTTCTGCTAGGTTAGCTTCCAATCGGACGACGCGATGTTGGTTGTGTCTCCCACTCACGACGTCCTCACCGGTACCGGTATTGCATGTTTGCTCGGCAACTCCCACCCACACCACTGCACGCTTGCCGCCCCTCCTAACACCTGCTGCTCCTCCTCCTTTCCCGCCCGTCCCTCCACAGGCCTCTCCCCGGCCCCCTTTGGCGGCGCCGCCAGCCCCTTCGGCAACCCCGCGGGGGCAGGCGGCACCTCGCTGTTCGGCAACCCGGGGGGCGCCTTTGGGACGCCGCTGGGGGGTGCGGCGGCGGCACAGCAGCAGCAGCAGCGGGCGGGGGCGGCACGGGCGGGCAGCAGCAGCAGCAAGAAGCGGTAGTAGTCGTGGCAGCAGCAGCGGAGAGCAGCAGCAGCTAGGGGTGGATGTGTGGGCGCTGTGGCGGCAGCGGCTGTATAGCAACTGCGGCTGATGAGGTGGGGTGCGGTGGAAGGATGCTAGCGAGGGTTGTAGTGTTGTAGACACTTTGGGGTCATTGACACACGTCTGGAAGTGCTCCCTGTAGGGAGGAGGTCTTGCGAGGGGCACCTTGTCAGGCAGCGGTTGTGGTGGCAGCAGTGGGACTGCAGGGGGGCGGAAGCGCAGAGGCATTGGGGTTGAGGTAAGGTGGATGCAAGTGCCTGGAAGATTTGGGTGAAGGGGATAGGGGGTAGGGTTTGGAAGTGGGCAGCAGCTGGTGAGGTACGAGGGGAAGCTAGATGTAAAGAAGCCCGAGGAATGTATGGGGCGGATATGGATACATTGTAAGGTATGGCTACGTATGTCCCATTCGCACCTGTTGACCTAGACCTTAAGGCAATTAGCTGCTGCGGTGGCCGTACATACGGTCACAACGGCAACCGCGGCAAACCGGCGATGTTTGGGTAAAAATCAACTGCAAGGTTTTTTATTCGTATACAGTGTAGAATGGTGCCTGACCTCCAGTATTAAGAATAGCCTCGCATTAACAGTGACCTTTGCATACGCTCCTTCGTCCGACCTACCGCCCAACTTCACGCTTTTTGTAGGCGTGCGAACTGCAATGTCAAAGCATGAAGACCCGATCCAAAGATTCATGAGCACAAGCGACCTAGAGGGACTTCGAAAGCCACTTGTATTCCCGAAGTCGAGCAGCTTTGTCAACTACCAGCGCAAGTCCAACTCCAAATGGTACATATGGATAGGATGTGCACCATGTTATGCCCCAAAGGCGGTGTTTAGCCCCGAGGAGCTCCTTGACCATTTTGCCCTCGAGGTGCGAAATGCGTCGTGAGCAACACCTTGCGCCCATGCTCGCACGCTGAACCATATTGACGGCTGAGATCGCCCTTCGTAGCTGCGGCAAGAAACTATAGTCGCGACCTTCCCAGTCAACTGGTTCTGCTCTGTCAACGATGAGACATGCACAGTGTTTCTGGACAACATCGTCAACGTGACGCTCATAGAAAACAAACATCTTGCATCGTTTGGGCTTAAGCAGGTACAATAATCGCACATGCTTCTCGGCTTGCAGCTTATGCATGAGTTCGTTAGGCTCATCGACTTCCTACAGTGCTAGCTCCTTGCTGCGACCGCCCCACCCCTACATCTTTTCCCCTCGTGCTTGTTGTCCTTACTTGGCATGCGTCGTTGTGCTTCCTGCATTTCTGCATTCCCTCACTTCCATCCCTCCCAGCTGCAAGTGTGGACCTTCGATGACACGCAGCAGACGGGCGCCTCCCTAACCGCCTCCTGGCTAGCAAACCCGGAGCAGGTGAAAGCGTGATCGGGGCTTCATAGATAGTCACATGGGTCAGGGTTACTTGTGGGTCGGGTCAGGCAACATAGCCAAGGGGCTATAAGGCAGCCGTCCCCCGTGCATTGCGGATTTCGATAACAAGCGAGGGCTTCGACCAGCTTGCGGCACCTGCGCAGTCTGGGTCTTGCAAGCACTACCATCTTACTCCTCCTGCGCGCCAATGTGCGGTGCTACAGGCTCGCGACGCCATCCTCCTTGCGGTCAACCTCCGGAAGGCCGCCACAGGCCGGGTGCCGCTGCAGTTCACCACCTCCCAGGAGCTGGCAGCCCTGAGGGCGGTGGCGGCGATGGGCGGCAGCAGTCGGGGAGGGGAGCAGCAACCAGCAGCTGACACCGCAACCGCGACCGCCGTCATCACGAGGGTATGAACAGTTGAACATTTGTGGGGACCGAGGTCATACGGGTGCGCCGGGGTCTCGGTTTGCTGCGTTCGATGCATACATGTACTTTTAGCTGTATCTGTTGGCAGTTGCGGTTGTGGCAGGGTTGGGTTTTATCGGAGGTGATCTCGGCGCATGACGAGGGTGCCTGTGTGTTCATGATGTCAGCTCACCATCGTGCCATGCTGTTGCATGGCAAGGGGATTCAAGATAAGGGACGCCGTACAACAACTAATGTATGTACGGGAAAAAGGCGTTGGGTATTCGGTGTACCGTACATGGGTTGTGCGGTTGTGGGATTAATGCGGACTGTACGTAATTGAGCATTGGCATGTTATCTAGATGGGGTATGGAGGTATCATGCATTGCAGGCGGGGCGGGGAGAGGTTCCCAGCCGGTGGCATTAAGAAGGGCCTCTGTGAGGAGACGGGGGTTGTAGATAGACGCAGGGACGTTGCGGTGCAGTATTGCATTATAGTGATGGGTGCAAGGCTGGGGTATGTCATCCCCGGCGGGGCACCCCTTGAGATTTGCTTTGGAGGGTACATGGCAGTGATAGGGCACGGCAGGTGTTTCATTGTATGCATGCATACCGGTACGTAGCGGGAGAAATGCAGGAGAAACACGGGTGTGTCTTTGTGGCTGGGAGCTTGTATGTTGTATGTATTGAGGGCCTAAGGCTTTCAGCAACTATTGGGGGCAACAGCATGTGCCAGGCGAGGAGGCTGGAAGGATGCGGGGAGTGGCTTGCTCCTTTCCTTACGTTGCCTACTGCCCCAGCACCCGTTGTGACACGGTAGCGGGCCCATTTGAGAGGCATGTGTGCAGTGCCTGTTCGGGACATGTGCCGTACTCAGCCGCTGTGCGCTGCTGTCGTACGGTCCTAATGTGGGCCCTCCGCGGTTGCATGGCTGGCCGCTGTGGCCGCGGAGGAGGGCGTTGTGTATCGGCTCCTTCATGTACCACCTTCGGATGGCTGCCGTCCAGTCCCCCATGTTGCAGCTGCAGTGCCATTTCATTACGTCCTAGGATATGAGAACGCTGGGCGCTGGAAGGCTGCACCCCATGCGCCGTGTGCCTACCTTCACACAGACTCCTGGGCGGCGGCTCGACACGGCAGGTCCCCATGCGCCATGCAACTGCCTTGCTGCATCATTGGGTTCATTGCACACGACGTGATCCCGCACACTCGGAGAGCGCATGATGAGTGGAGGATGGGCCTCATGTGTGACGCAGGCGAGTGTGGCTTTTGCCACTGTGTGCTGTCTTGTAGGGCTGTGCTGCAGGGTGACACTCGAGTGGGTGACATTCGAGGTATCGTGCCACTTGTACGTACTTGGGCTACAGGTGCAGTGGGCGAAGCCTTTGGGGGTGTGGTCGATGGATTCCGGTAGGCTGTCTTCTGGGGATGTCACATGAGAGCGGTTGCAGGGAGCGGAAACTGTGAAGTTACTGAGCGGGTACGTGTTGCTCGCAGTGACCATTGCGAGATCCCAACAGCTACAATGTATCATGTAGGCTTTCTGTGTGCAAATTGGCGTGCGGCCGTCGTCCACATGCCGTATCGCCTTGGGCAACAGAAATCATAAGACACGTCACGATGCAGCTTGGCAGGCTAAGCCTGCATATCCTAGTCCTAAACAAGCCATGCCAGTGTTCCTTTCCGCTGCTGCGTCCCACTGTCAGGCTGTCATCATTGGTCCCACTACACGTTTCTTCCTGTCCCCTGCGGCCCCCAACCCACCCACCCACCCCCAGTCAACCTTCCTCTTGACCCCTAACCAACCTCCGACAGCATTCCACCCATCACACAAATGACTTCCATCCCAGCCTACCCCAGCCCTTCCCCACCACGCAAAACGCTCCCACCGCTACACATCCCTCCCCACACCCCACTACAGCCAGTCGTTGGGCTTGGACCTCTTGGAGCTCCGGAGCCCCACCGGCGGCAACCCGCCCGCACCCGCCCCTCCCCCCGCCGCCACAGCTCCCGCACCCACACTGAACAGCAGCCCCCCGCCGCCGCCGCCCAGCGCCGACCCCCCGCCGGACCGATACAGCCCCTGGGAGTCACCACCCGGCGTGGTGGGCGCCACGCGGAAGGGAGCCGTGCTGGGCAGCAGCAGCGGCATCGCGGCGAAGGGGGCTGGGTGCTGCTGGTGCTGGTACTGCTGTGACGGTGCCTGTACGGCAGTCATTGCCTGCAAGGCTCCTCCCTCGGCCGCGTTGTTGTCGTACTCCGCAAAGCCTCCGAAGGCAGCGTTGTTGCGTTGCAGCGCTGCGGAGATGGCGGATGGCGCCAGCGGGGGTGGCGGAGGAACGGAGAACGGCGGAGGTAGTTGTACGGCACGTGTGACGAGCGGCGGCGCCTCCGTACCGTGGAAGGGCAGCACTGCCAGCGCCTGATCCGGCGACATGTGGTCGTACAGCCCCGCCAGGATCCCCACGGCGCCCTGTGTAAAACAAGATGTGTACGGCAGTGACGGCGGCTGGCATGATTCGTAGCAGAGCACAGTATCTACATCCCATTCCAACCCAACCCAACCCGCCCCACCGCTCCCTTGCGGGTGATTGCGGGGGGTTGTTGCTCCGCCCCTGGGTACCCCTCCTCCTTCCAAGCGCACCTTCACCCCCTCACACCACAACCAGCAGCCCAAACACCCATTCCCATCCCCCCCCCTCCCCCACACGCACCTGCCCGGGTGCCAGCTCCGCCAGCATCAGCGCCAACGCCTCCCCACCCCCGCCTCCGCCCCCGCCCCTCCCCGGCCCCGCCCCGAGGGGCTCCTGCACCGCCACGTTCCTCAGCGCCCGCGGCAGCAGCCCCCCGTGCGCCGCGTCCAGCGCCGCAGCCACCAGCTCGGCCAGCGGCGAGGGGCGGCGCTGACCCGCTGCGGCGGCCAGGGCGGCCTGGCGGGCCTCCCACCTGGGGGGGGGGTGTGTGATGGGGGGAGGAGAATAGCCAGTGGGTTGGCTGAGGGTGGCAAACAAGACGACAAGCTCCTTGTGAATGGGTGGGGGTGTGTGATGGGGGGTCGGAAGAAGAAACAAATGGCTTCACCACTATGGATTGCATCATGGATTGCAGATCGGCCCAGTGGGAGGGAGCAGGGGAGCAGGTCAGGGAGCACATGGCAGTGGTGGGGCGGGGCAGGGGTGTTCAGCCCAGGTGGTTGCGCCAGTGGTGGTGCACAGGGGAGGGCGGGCGCATGCAAGGCGGACATGGCAACGCTCTTGAACCCACAGCTTGGGAGGCGGGGGACAGGGAAGGCGGGGGACAAGGAAGGCGGGGGACAGGGAAGGCGGGTGAGCCCTGCCGCAACCCGGCTCCCATGCATGCAGCCCCGCCTCCGCCCCGCGCCCATGCACCCACGCACCTGTGCCACGCCGCCGTGGCTTCATTGATCCTGCCCCGCTGCAGGAAGAACAGCGGCAGCAGGTCGCCCGCCGGCCGCCCCGCCTCCACCTGCTCGGCCAGCCACCCCACCAGCACACACTCCTCTGGGGGGGGGGAGGGGGAGGGGGCAAGGAGCATACCATAGCATAGGAAACCACAGGTTAGGGTAAAGCAATGGGGATAGGAGGGAGGGAGAAGAAGGAAAGTACCATTCTATGAATGATAGTGGCGAGTAGGAGGGAGGGAGTGGCCGGCGGTGCGTTTACAGGAGGAGGGGTGCATGATGCAAGAGGGGGACAAGGTAGGGGAGGGGAGCGGCAGTGGCGGCGTGTGGGTCCACCTCAGCCACCAGCTGTGGGGATGGGAGACCGTTCCAGTCGTGCCATGTGCAAGGCGTGAGGTGGAACAAGGGTGCGAGAAGGCCCTGTTTGTTCGCCCCCGTTGACCGCCCCCGGCACCCCACCCGCCACCGCCCCTCACGACCCGCACCTGTCGCATTCAGCGGCAGCTCCGTCAGACGGTTCAGCCACCCCCCTCCCCCTCCTGCTGCCGTACGCCCTGCCGCCCCCGCCGCCGCCTCCCCTCCTCCCTCTCCTGCCGCCCCTGCAGCTGCTGCCGCCGCCACTCGCTGCTGCGCCTCCTCCGCATCCGCCGCCGCCGCCCAGCCCGCCAGGTGCCGCAGCAGCGCCCCAGTGTGCTCCGCCACCTCCGCACCGCCACTGCCACCGGCATGTGCCCCCACCACCGCTGCTGCTGCTGCAGCGGGAGCTTCGCTCCTGCCAGCCGCAGCCGCAGCAGCCGCCGCCAGGTCAGCGGTGTGTTGGCGGATGAGCATGAACGCCTCCGTCATGAGGCCGCACCTGCGGGTGGTGGTGGTGGGAGGGGTAAGGGGGGTGAGGGAGGTGAGGTACTCAGGTGAGGCAGAAGAACACTTGTGTCAATCTGAACATTCTGCCCAGCAATCCATAATAACCTTGCACTCACCTCAACCGGATGTCTAGCAGTGTCAGCGCTTGCGCCAGTGTACGGCAGGGCCTGCTGCTGCTGCCGCCGCCGCCTGCCGTACCGGTACCGCCGCCGGCAGCAGCTACAGCCGCCTCGGACCCCGCTTGCGCCCGGTCCACTGCGAGTGCCACGTCAGGCCGACCCAACGCCAGCAGAGCCTGTTTAGGAAACACGGAAGGGTGTAAATGGGCAGCATGCAGTGGTGGGGGCACATGTCGTAGGGAGTCGGGGACGCTTACAAAACGTTGCGGCTTTGTTGTCAAGCCTATAGGAAACCAGGCAGACAAGCGAGGCCGAGAATGTTTCGTAGTTCACAACGGCCCACATCCGCATCTTATGCCTTCCTGTGCCACAGCGCGGCATCTGCAGTCCAGCAATTCCGAAGCGGGCCAAAGCAACCTCCCTCCTTCCCTCCTCCCCACCCATGCAGCTACCTCGATGAACGCAAAGGGTGTGGCGGGGGTGACGCAGGAGGGCAGCAGCGAACACGCGCGAGCCAGGAAGGGGTCCTCGGCACCCGGGGCGTCTGGGGCGGGGGAGGGGGTGGGATGTGAGGTAGGCGCAAGGGGGTATGCAAGGGCGGGGCGGGGGTGCATGTGATGTACGGTGCAAGAGGTGGGCGCGGCTCCCATCACACCCACCTAGCTGCGCCTCCTCCCCGTCGAATGTGCCTACCGGTAACCTTGCTCCTCTCCTCCCCGCTTACCGGCACTCCTCCTCCTTCTTTCCCCTCCTCCCATCCCTCGCCACCCCCCACCCAACCCCCCCTCACCCGGCGCCGCACAGTCCAGCAGGTACTGGCACTGCCACAGCCCCACCTCCCCCGCGGACAGCAGGAACGTGCGCCGCAGGTCCTCAAGCGCCTCCGAAACCAGTCCACCACCACCACCACCCCCTCCTCCTCCTCCTGCAGGACCTCGTAGTAGGCCCATTGCCGCTGCTGCTGCGGGCGGCACCACCGTGCCTGCGGGCCCACCAGCCGCTGCCGTACTAGCACTGCTCGGATCCAGCGGCAGGAGCCCCGAATCCAGGAGGAAGTAGGACAGCAGCGCTAGCTTGGCATGCCATGTGGCTGTCGTGGCGGCGGCGGCGGAGGAGGGCGTCGCTGTGGCTGCTGGGGCGGCGGTGTGTTGGTGTTGCTGCGAGTGGTGGGGGTGCAGGTGGTGGTGGGGGTGGGGGTGTGGGGGCGAGGTGGGCTGCTCCCCGGCGCCCGCTGCGGCCGCATCCCGCACCACCAGCAGCAGCGTGTGCAACATGTGCTGCAGGGAGGCGGGCGGGTAGGCGCCGGAGAGGGACAGAGACTGCGGATGCGGAGAGGGTGGGGGGAAGGGGGGGGCAAGGGGGGCATGCGGATGGAAGGAAGGAGCCAGGATTGGCGGGGAGGGTACCACACGATGGGGCGGGGCTAAGGCGCTGATCATACACGTGCACCCCCATTGTGCCCGCACGGCCCCCTCGTAATCCCCCGCAGCTACGCGCGCAGCTGGCTCATCAAGTCCCGTTTCCCGACCCCTCTCCTTTCCATCCCTCCCTTCTGCTCCCTCCCCTCCCTCCCTCCCTCCTCCCACCTGCAGCAGCGAGTCCAGGAAGAGCGGTCGCGGCGCCGCCCGGGCCCTGCGCGCACTCACCGCCCGCGACCACTCCGCGTGCGACCCGAAGCGGCCTCCCGGGGCGGCGGGGGAGGGGCAGGCGGGGGAGGCGGACATGAGGCCCTGCCGGCTGCACCAGTCCATCACCTGGGGATGGGGCGGGGTGGGGCCGTGAGAGAGGAAAGAGGGGTTAGAGGGGAGGGAACGGGAGCGCCCAAGTGCCCAGCTGGCACCCGTCTGTGCGCTTCCGCGTCTCTTCCCCGCCGAGGCTGCCTAAACAGGGTTCCCACCCACCCACCCAGCCCCATCCCACCTGGAATGCCTGCTCCAGCAGCACTGCCTGCCGCAGCTCGGAGCGCACCGACAGCCTGGCGGAGGGGGAGTAGGCAAGGGGGGATTAAATAAGTGAAACGACGAGTAGTTAGGGTAAGGGGGGGACAGGTCCGGTGAGGTCGAGAGAGCGGACGGGGGCTGTGCGAATTTGCGCCGGGATTGTGTCCTTCCGGTTTGCTCACGCGTTATGCCCTCCTACTAACCTACTCTTCCCCCCCTGCCCCTAGAGGACCCCTGCCCCTTGCCTTGTCACACGGTTAGTTTCCTCCTCTGTATGCCCCCACCCACCTGTCCTGCCTTCTTTCATCCCCCACCCACCTGTCCTGCGGTGCTCCCGGAACCGATACCGCCATCGCAGCTGCGGTGGGGCCGGTCGCCACTGCTCGGATGCGGTCCAGTGCCTTTAGCACCGAAACCAGGGTTCGCATTTGCGCCAAGTGCCTCTGCAGCTTTCCGGCCTGGAAGGTTTGAAACGCGGAGTCTGCTGCAAGTGCGGCTGCTGCAGCCTGCTCCGCCTGCTGCAGGCAGGCCTGCGCCCAGGCTTTGACAAAACCGCCATCTAGCAGGTACGCTTCAAGCGGGTCGTTGGAAGTTAGGTGACGGTCCGCACATACGACTTCCACATAGTCCAGAATCCAGCAGCCGAGGCCGCCTTCTAGGGCTGCGTTGAAGACCGCGAGGTAGCGATCCTTGGGCGAGGCGTCTGGGGAGCCTGGTGGGATAAGCCCGGCGCTCCGGCAAGTAGCGTGTAGGGTGTCCAGGATCCGGCTGCCATCTGAGCGCTTGAGGTGGAGCTCCTTGAGGTTGCATGATGCTAGGGCTGAGAGGGCCGCAACCGCAGGAGCTGCAGCTGTCGCGGTTGGCGCCATCGCAAAGCAGGCCAAAGCAAGGGGTTACAGCAGCCTAGAACCTTAAAACTGATCTAAAGTGGCGTTCACTCAGGGTAAGCTACCCATGCCATCGGCTGAAATGCGCGATATTTTTGGACGTCGATCGTAATCGTTTGGTATTGAGATACTGAAGAACCAGAATAAGAATAGGTGAACTGTATTCAATTCAGCGTACAGCATATAATTTTAGAGGCTGAAGGATGGCTGTCCACGGGCTGCCGATGAGGGCACGGCACGGCACTTGCGCCGGCCTATAAATTGTTGAAGCCGCCGATTCTGTTCATCATTTTCCTGACTTTTCTTCTGCATTAACATAAATACCTCGCACCTACTCATTATACGACGAAGGAAACAATAAAGAGATTTTGCTGTTCAGCAAGTCAGTGCTTACTACAAGCGTAGCGTAGCGGCGGCACAGGCCGCCTCAGGGCGGCCAGAATGGGCAAGAAACTAAAGAAGGTGCGGTGAGGCATTCATATATGGGCCGGGCTCCTTCCCTTTATGCCATTTGCGCCGCCGGCTTCAAGCAAATTACCTTAACCATGTGCAGGGAAAGGCGGGTAATGCGGCTCAATACATTACACGGACGCAAGCCGTCCGTAAGCTGCAGCTTCGGCTGTCAGAGTTCAGGTGGGCTGGGAGTCGGCATGAATGCGTGACGGCTCGGCGGCGCTGTGAATAAGGCAAAGCCGTTGCCTGATACGTAGACAATTTGCTTTGCAATACAATTTGCCGGATGTAAACTTGTAATCGCTATTTGGCCGTCCTATTCCTTGCAGGCGACTCTGTATCCTGAAGGGCGTCCACCCTAGGGAGCCCAAGAAAAAGCCTAAGGGCGCAAACAAGACATACTACCATGTAAAGGACATCAACTGGCTGGCCCATGAGCCACTGCTAAACACCTTCAGGTGCGCATGCCCATCCTCTCATGAGCTGGCGGCGCTTTAAGCGTGACTTTACAGCCGTTCGTGTAGGGGGAACTGCTTTCGAGCTGAAACTTCCATGCATGATTACCGGGTAGTCCAGACGTGTTCCTTAACTGGAGTCCCGTGCCGCATCCCACCGACAGGAACCTGAAGACCTACGATAAGAAGGTGCGGAAGGCGCGTGCCAAGCAGAATGCGGACCTCGCCAAGCGGCTTATGCAGCTGAAGCCTACATACCGGCTCGATCACCTGGTCAAGGAAAGGTGAGCCAAAAGGAAGCGTGGGATTGCCATGCTGCCTTCACATCTAACAAACAATGTCTTAGGCCCCTGCAGCTCATATGCATGAAGTATTACAGCTTTATCGAGGATGGGACTCCCCTCCAATACCCGTTCATCAAGATCCCGGTCCTCTTCCAGGACCCCATCCTTAACATCCCTCCTCTCATGCTGTGCCTCCCGCATCCCCCTCCAGGTACCCCTCCTTTGTGGACGCCCTTCGCGACCTGGATGACGCACTCACCATGGTGCACCTCTTTGCCACCCTGCCCGCGGAGAGCAAGTACGACATCCCCACCAAGGTATGTGTGTCAAGGAAACTGGCCGCGAGTCTTGTGTGCGTGTGTGGGAGGTAGCTGCCTTGGCTACTACAGCCGGTGGGGGTGGTGAAAGATAACAACAGAAGTACCCTGGTTGTGTTCGCCTGACTGGCTGAACGACGTACCTCAACAACCTTCTTCCGCCATCGCGCTCCCCCTACTGTGCACCCATGACGCGGGTCCCTGCCGCCCACTGCTCTCCCCCAGGCGGTCCACACGGCTCGCCGGCTGGCGCTGGAGTGGCAGGCGTACATTGTCCGCAGCGGCGCGTTGCGGCGCGTGTTTGTGAGCGTCAAGGGCTACTACTTCCAGGCAGAGGTGCTGGGGCAGAGCGTCACCTGGCTCACACCGCACGCACTGTCGCAGGTAAGAGCTGGCGGGCGGGGGCAGCACCTTGGGTTCAGGTCATGTAACCTGCTCCATGTGTGGCTTTATGTGGGGCTTTCCATGGCCCATGTGTCGTTAGCAACAACTCTGTCCGCCCTCGCCCTGTTCCTTGGCATTCCTGGCGGTCCTTTCCTGTTGTTGCGGGCACTAAGGGCAGTCCTACCTTGCATGTTGTTGCCGCCGCAGGTTCTGCCGCCGGATGTGGACTACAAGGTGATGCTGACCTTCCTGGAGTTTTACAACACGCTGCTGCAGTTCGTCAACTTCAAGCTGTACCACATGCTGGGGGTGAGTCGGGAGTTGTGTCGTACGGCCAAAGGGGTGAAGATGCTCGTGTGCGTTGAGGAGAGCAGCCCTGTCAGCCACTCTCCTGCATCTTCACCTCCCTCCTAGCTGCGCATGCTGCCACTCTTGCCGCCATTCGGTTTCGGTCTCTCGGTCGGTCCACAGCTCCACGTGGGTGATGATAACTAAAGTCCTGAGCTGCATACGCCCCCAGTTCCTGGGGGCAGCGGCTCCTGATGAATTTACCATATGTCATAGTTACACTGACACGTGCGACCCCGGTGAAGACCTCACACACACCCCTCTCACGCAACTGCACTTGCATCCCCTGCACAGTCACACAGCCACGTCGTACAACAGCTGAGACCACTCATTCCACGAAGTCCAAAGCGCTCAGTCTTGCGCCCTTCCCGTCCTTGCCCCCGCAGCTGCGCTACCCCCCGCTGCTGGACCCCCGGCTGGAGCAAGCGGCAGCTGAGCTGGCAGCCATCATGAAGGACATTGCCGGCGTGCGCGACGTGGCGGAGGGAGACCGGAGGGCGCAGGACGCCGCTGCCAACGGCGGCAGCGCTGACGGCACCGACGCTGCTGCTGCGGATGACCCCGAGATGCGCGCCCGCATTGAGAGCCTGCAGTCGCGGCTGCGGGAGATTGTGGGTGCGGCCGGCGAGGGGGCTGATGCTGCCGCTGAGGGCACGGCGATGGTGGAGGGTGAGGACAAGGAGTCGGAGGAGCCGGACAGCGAGGCGGGTGACGAGGAGGACGATGACGTTCCCATTCTTGACTCTGGTGACGACGACGAGGACGAGGACGACGATGATGACGAGGACGAGGAGGAGGGGTTACCGCAGCAGCAGCGGCCTACGCCAGCTGCGTTGGACGCGGCTGCTCGCAGCGGCGGCAGGACGAGCACCTCGGCTGCAGCGCTGCTGGGCGATGATGACGACGAGGACCATGACGATGACGACGTCGACCAGGCTGGTAGGTCTTGCAGGTGCCGGCTGTCATTGGTGGCCTTACCTGTGTAGCGGTGATCCTAGTATGTGTTGTGTTGAGATGCGGACGTGCATTTATGGACACATGTTATGTGGTACTTCCTACTTGTCGTGCAAGTCCCTTCGCCTCAATGAGCACCTGTAGCTCTACCTTCTTTAATTATCCATTGCTAACTGTGCCCATCCCTCCATGCAGGCCGCGTCGTTGCCGCCGGCGCAGACCAGGACGCTGGCTCACGTGCTGCTGGCGGCGCGCTGGGCCCCGGCATCGACCCCTCGGACGAGTCCTGCGTGTGTCGCCACCTCTTCCGCGGCATGGTGTTTTTCCTTGGCCGGGAGGTGCCCCGGGAGCCGCTGATGCTGGTGGTGCGCGCCTTTGGGGGCGTGGCGGCGTGGGACGGAGAGGGCTCGCCATACGATGAGGCCAACGAGGCCATCACGCACCAGGTGGGGGTGGGGGTTGTTGTAGGTCATTGTAGACCTTGGGGGCTTCGGATGGTGCGCTGTTTTGTGAGGGGCTGTGGGGTCGAGTGATGGCACGGTACGGGTTTCTGATCCCTCTTTTTGATTCCTCTTCCCTTGCCGTTCGCCCTCCCAGGTTGTTGACCGGCCACGTCAGGGCCACCGCTTCCTCTCCCGGGAGTACGTGCAGCCGCAGTGGGTCTTTGACAGCGCCAACTTCCGGGTGCTCATGTCGGCGGACCTGTACGCGCCGGGGCAGGTTCCGCCGCCGCACCTGTCGCCCTTTGTGGGGGAAGCGGACGAGGACGGGTACACGCCGGACTTTGCCAAGACCATTCGGCGGTTACAGGTAGGTGTCGAGTTTCGGTTTCGGGGTTGGGATATGCATCTTTAATTATAAAATGGTGCTCATATGTAAGGGTACATGGAATGGAACGTTTTGCATGAGTTACGGAAGATAGTTTGCTAGGCTTGCTTGTCTGATGCATGGACCCTCAGTCACAAACAAGGGCACGCACCTGGCGTACCTACGGGAATGGCCAGGTGGTGAATCAAACTGAGGAAAGGAACGGGTCATATCCGGCCTGCCCTGCCTGATCTTGTGGTGGGCAGCGTCACTTACGACCCCACATCCCTCGTCTCTTATCAACAAGTCCCTAAACCCTGCCTAGTCTACATATAGTTGCTCGTTCCTTCCGCAAATGCGTTGAATAATTTACCTTTATGTGCCTGTCATTGCTGTCATTGCTGACTACTAACCCACGCGATCCAACATGGCCGCACCCACAGGACGCCGCGCACGCAGCTCGCCTCCGCGCCGCCGGTCTCACGCTCAAGGGAGCCGACGGCAGCGAGTTTGTGGGCGAGGGCGCCACCGGAGCCGACGGCGACGCCCCCGCCACTGCCGCTGAAGACCTGGAGGCCGCTGAGCGCGTCTACGCTGCCGAGCTCGCAAAGGAGGTACGGCAGTCGCGCAAGCGGCCTGCTTCCGAGGTGGCGGCTGGTAGCGAGGATCCTGAGGAGGAGGAGCCGCAGCAGCAAGAAGGGGACGTGGACGCGGGCAGCGAGGAGGCGGCGGGCGAGGAGGCGGATGAGTCGTCGGGCGAGGAGGAGGAAGAAGCGGAGCCGCCGCGAAAGAAGCAGGCGGCTGCGTCTGGCGTCAAGACCCGTGCGGCTGCAGCGGAGGACGAGGAGGCGGCCATGGCTGACATCATGATGACTCGCAAGACGCGCAAGATGTACAACAACATGAAGGCCAAGGAGGCGGCCCAGCGGGAGCGTGCGGAGGAGCTGGAGGCGAAGAAGGCCAAGCTGCTCGCGGCAGGCGCAGCTGGACCCATGGGTCAGGCCAAGCCCGCCGCCAAGCCTGCGGCGGCGGCAGCGGTGGGTGCGAAGCGACCTGCTGCAGCAGCTGCTGCTACGGCCACGGGCGGCAAGGCTGCTGCCAAGGGCGCTGCGCCGGCGGCCCCGGCGGCGGCTGCCAAGGGACGTAAGCCTGCTGCTGCGCCAGCCACGGCGGCAAAGGGCGCGAAGGTTGCAGGAGTTGCTGCGAAGGTCTCCGCTCCGGCACCAGCTAAGGGTGGCAAGGCGGCCGCGGCGACAGCTGCGGCGGCGACGAAGCGGCAACGGCGGTGATTGCTGACTTGACGTGGTTGCATGCAATATAGTTGTTGCTGCAAGCGATCGGGTGTTGCGTTTGAAAGTTAATGCCCTACAGCATCTTCATTGTATGACTGACTGACTGACAAGCTGAACCGCTTTTGGTACATATGCATGACCGTTTGTGGCTTTGAAGTGCGTGCGCAATCTGAGACAGGACTAAGCGGCCGTGGTTTTGAGTTCGGTTTGTTGTGCCACTCTTTACCTCGTCGGCTGACGTTCAGCGCTTGCTTTTGGAAGATGCAACCTAGGCTAGGCGATCGGCTGGGAACGCTAGGTTGGTGATGTTGTAAGCACAGGGCAGTTTGAGCTTGCATGCCGGTGGGAGGTGGCCTCATGTGTGCCAGCTCATGATGTCTCATGCCGCGTTTGTCGCTATATGGACTTGGGAGGAGGTGCTGTAGAGGTGGTGCAGCCTTATGAGCAGTTAAGGCTGTAGGTGATCAAGCAACGGTGGACGTTGCATGTAACACATGGAAGGCTTTCCTCATGTTACTTTTCAAGCAACAAGCAATGAACCAGTAGCGTTAACACCTGACACAGCATATAGTCCAGCGGAGAGTAAACTGTATGAAGTTGAGACATGCAATGCAACAGATTCACAGTAAAACACTAGGGTGTGTCGCAGCAAGTGAAAACCCCTTCAAGAAAGCACGACGAATGTCACAAATGAATGCGTGTACGAAACCGAATTAACGCGCCCTGAACCACCCCACGCTCCATTGCTACATGTAAACTCGTCCTAACCAAACAGAGTTAGTTGCTACTGCCAGCAACGCTTCTAGCAAGCACGGCGCCACACCAGCAGCAACCATTCTACTGCTGTAGTGCGGTTGTTTCAACTGCTGCCGCTATTTCGGTAGCCCTGCCAGCATGCTAGCATCGAAAGTGGTTGTCTGGTAGTCAGCAAACTGCCAGACGCCGTTGGGAGCCTGTACGAACCTGTTGAGGGCAGCAGGCAAAGTAGTAAGCCGTGGAAGGCTGGGTTAGGGAGGATGACGTGCATAGAGGCAGTACCCCGCCTCATGGTGGGGGCCCGTGCTATAAGGTACGGGAGGGAGGCGGGATGGGAAGATATGCACGGTACGCCGCTCCCTTGTGAACTGTCACTTTCCCACCTCTGCCTTCTTCGTTACAACCGTGTACAGGTGTTGGATGCCTCCACTCCTGCAGGCCCCTCTTAAACCCTGCCTCTGAGCGCCCAAACCTCGCCTCGCTTTACCCTTCTCCTCCTTCTCATCACTCCGTCCCCGGTCCCCTATACTCCCCATCCCAACTTCCACATGCCTTACTTGCACTTCTCCGCCGTACGGTTCCAGCCGGCTGTGTCGCTGGCCTCCTGGGCGGTGAGGGGCGCTCCGGGGGCGGAGCGGGAGCGGCTCAGGTACTCGAATGACACGTAGCTGCATGGGAGGGATGAGGGTAAAAGTAAGTGCAGCAACGAGGGAGGGGGAGGGGTGGGGCGGAGGTGGGTGGGAGGGAGGAGGGGAGAGAAGGGGCGGAGGTGGGCGAGGGCATAAGGCATGCGGGCGTAGGGTGCTATTGCAGGGGTCGCAGGGGAAGGGGTTGAGACGGCACAGTTGAGTCTGTAGGAACGTGTTGAGAATATACAGCGTCGGCATGGGTATGCAGCGGGGATTGAATGGGGTGAGGGGTAACAGGTAACAGGACCAAGCGGTAGGTGAATGCTGGTTGGTAAGAACCGAGGAGGGGTGGGGTGGGGGCGAAGGACGTCAAAGCGCTAACCTAAGGAAGGGGGCTTCGCTGCCACCATGCATGGAAGCCGGGCCCCATAACTCGGCTTGGGCAGTAGAGACTCGTAGGTATCCAGGGAACAAGATCAGAGCGGAGGAGAAGACCCAAGGGCAGCCACACTAGCCAGGAACCAACTAAAAGACTATAAGCGGCAGGTGTACATGTAACCTCACCCGTCCAGCTCGCTGTCTCCCGGCTCCGAAGCCAGCACGCGCAGCCCCGTGTACGCGAAGCGGTTGCAGGCGGTTGCGGCGTCCTGCCTGAGCCGCTCCTCAGCACCGCCGGGAGTGGAGATCTGCGGCCAAGTAGGAGTATACCACGGAGCATGGATACAGTGCTGACACAATGGCGGCAGGCTTCCAGGGCACCGCTGGCAGTTAGGGAAGCCTGGGAAGGGTACCTGGTAGTGGTTCACATGGAAGTCCGGATGGGTGGTACTGATGATGTAATCAGCCTCACCCTTGCTGGAGGGGAGCATGATGCGCGAATGTCAGTAATTTAATTTGGCAATAGGCGTACGGGTTGCGCTTCTGAAGAATCCACAGTAGGCGAGCATGCGCACCAGAATGCCGCGAACCGGGCCCGGAGAGTGTCCTCAGGCGTCAGCGCAATCCGTTCGCCGCGGTGCACAGGCCCACAGCAGTTCTGTTGAGGGGGAATGAGATTTGTGAAAAGGGAGGAACCAGTCAGGCTACGACGCGATAACGTGCAAGCCAAGTGCAGATAAGGCCGGCCACTCGGCCGAGGGAACGCAAAACACTAATGGGATATATTTTCTTACGCAAAGACTTTCAATTGCTCACCTTGTACGCTTTGCCTGAGTCGCACGGGCAAGGCTCGGGAGCAGGTTGGTCTTTCCGCGGTTTGGGTACTGCTTTCGGCTTCACGCCAAAGCCTTTTGAACATGCTATTCGGATACATGCTCTTCGATTAAGCGAAGGCGTAGACAAGAAGGGTTGTACTCGCGCTTGCAGCATGGAGCGGGACTAAGATGCTAAAAGAGTAAATAAAGATCTTTGCACTCGATAGAAGGGTACACGTGTCGTGGCGGAAAAAAGTAGGAAAGGCACCTCTGAAAAGCACCCTTGGTTGGCCATATACCGTACGCATCACTGTCTTTTCCACACTACCGTGTCAACCCGAGCGAGCTTCAGCAGGTCCCAACACCGTCCTACCCGATAGTCCAGCAACTTAGCGCCACCGTAGACCCTTATGCCGTAAGCGCCGCTTGCAAGTGAGTGGACACTTGGCGCCAGCCTGCTGGCTAAGTGCGGGGAGGTCACATCAAGCAAGGACATGTGTGCCGAACAGGTATTCCAGGCCCTGCTGGTCAGAACTCCTTCTACTTGCCCCCAAACCTCACTGCACGAGCCAGGACATGGAACTGTGTTTTACTTCCTTATTTCTTTCTTCTTGTCCCCCAACCTGCTGGAGGTCATGCCACGCCTAACAAAAAGCTCAGTTTGCGTACTGAGGTTGCATTGCGAACCGCATTTCCCGAGAATAAGCTCAGCATGGCCCTGGATCCATGGCCCTGACGGCCGGGCGGGGCGTCGTCGCCCTCCACCTGTACGGCAATTCTGAAGTTCATCCGACGGGCCAGTGGCCCTTTTGCCCGTATATATGTTGCACCACATAACTACCGCATTGCCAGCATGCGGATCAAGAAACGCTCGGGACTTGGTGCTGCTTACTTGTCATTACCGCTTATTTAGTAATGTACTAGTAGTTGCATTCCAATGGGGTATAAATAACTAGCTGCTTACCTATTCTAATTAAACCTTTAATTTAAAGTAAAGGCCCTGTTCCACATTCCTGGTCAGGACGGACGAGACCCTGTTACGCAAATGCTAGGACGCTTTAATAGCTCCTGCAACTCTGTACAAAGGCCTGTTTACTCCCCAAAACCCGAGGGTATGTGTTGAAGGCTTAGAGTGCGAAAGTTACAAAGGGGCGACGGTTGATAGTTACGCATCGACGGGCCAAAACCACCTCGGCCAATGGTCCTGGATTACTTTGGTATGTGCACTTTTCATTACGTACTTGCCGCTCCGAGATCCGTCTCAAGCGTTGCATCATTACAACGAGCTGTCGTAATCGTCTGGATGGAAGTGCCGGAATCAGGAACACTCTGGCTTTGGTTGTTTGTTACGCTTTACTTTGGCTTCTCCTGTTCTAGGTGCTAAGCTGATCAAATAGGTGCTAAGCCTGGTTTGCTAACTCGGGTTCCGGACTCAAGCGAAATAACCCTATAGCCTTCAAATGGCGAAGCCACTGAAGCTGTATTACTTTGAACTTCCCGGCCGAGCGGAGGTGGCGCGCCTGTGCCTCACAATCGGCAACATCCCATTTGAGGTAAGGACGGGAATTGCTTATCCTGTCTTTCCGCAGGCGATGCCTAGCCACGTTCATGATTGTATTACAATCGTACTAGAGTGGAAGGTGGCGGTCGCCTTAGGTGCCTTTCGCGACTTCGGTCGTTGCCAATCCGTGCCCGCTTCAACAATGCTGGTGTTTTGTGTAATGCAGGAAGTGATTATTGACGGCAACAACTGGCCCGAGTACAAGCCGAAGACGCCATTTGGCCAGGTTCCCGTGCTCGAACTGCCCGATGGCAAGATGATTGCGCAGAGCGGAGCCATAGGTGAGAACTGCAATCCTCCACAAACCGTAAACCTAGGGTGCCTTGGGTCGGTTTAAGCCCTTTAAACCTGTCTTCCTCTCTTTCCGTTTCTGGCTGCCTTCAAACCCGGCTCTCCCTTGGTCCTGCTCAACAACAACTGTGTCCTTTCCCGTCTCCCCCTCCTCCCCCCTCCTACTGCCTCCCTCCTTCGCCAGCCTACCCTAAATCAAGCCCATACTAGCGCACCCAGTCCGTGCCTACCCCATACCGTCCTTCTCCTCCCACCGGGGATCATCTTTCCCTCCCTCCCTCTCCCTCTCTCCCCTTCCCTATGTCCGCCTCGCTCCCCCCTATTCCCCCACCAGAGCGCTACGTGGCCAAGCTGGCGGGGCTGTACCCCCAGGACCCGCTGCAGGCGGCGCTGGCGGACCAGGCAGTTTTCCACATGGCGGACATATGGGAGGTGAGGGGGGGGGAGGAGGGAGAAGTGGTGAGGAGGGGTGGGAGGGGGGGAGAGGAGACAAATGACGCATTGTGTGATGAGGCGTCATCACGGTTTGCAACATGTGAGCCAGCTCGACCCGCCCAGCCCGGGGGGTGGTGGTGGAGGGAAGGAGGGAAGGGGACGTGGTGACGCACTTGAAGGAGCAGGACTAGGGGGGAGGAAGCGAGGGGCAGGAGCGAGCGAGGTAGTGGCTGGGAGGTGTGGTTAGGGGGTTTAGGGGCCCTTGGGGAGGGGCACAGATTGGCCGGCGTCCATGGGGAGGTTCCACGGGGGCGGTACGTGTCGCAGGTGGTAAGGCGGGGAAGCGGGGAGGTGGGAGAGGAGAGGAGCAGAAGAGAAGGAAGGATAGGAGCAATGGAGGGGAGGAGCGGCGGGGGGAGTCAGGGGGGTCAGCGTTTACATGGTTGCATGCACCGGCCCTGGAGGGCTGTGAGGAGGCGGAGGAGGGGGGTGGCGGCAGGGGGTGGGGGCTGCTGGGGGGTTGGGTTAGCCCGGCGGACGCGGGGGTGCACATGTGGGAGGAGAGTGCGCAGCGGGGCTAGGTACCTTGGTGGCGGCAGCGTTGGTAAGCGTGTTGCGAGCTGCTGGCGCGCCGCTGTCCCCCGAGGGACGCACCGCAGCTCCATCCCGCAAGCAGGCAGCCATGCACGTAGACGCGTCTCCGCCTTACTTGTGCCCCGCGTGTGTAGACCTCCCCTCACCAACCCTCGTACCCCTCGGTCGCCACCTCCCCCTTCGGGTCGTTACTCGTTTCCTCTTTACCCTTCGCCCCCTTCGCGGAACATGTCTTCCTAGCTATTCCCCTTCGCCCCCTCCCCCTTCGCCCCCTCTTCCCATCCTCCCCTTCCCCTCCCCTTCCCCTCCCCCCCCAGCCGTTCGCGGCCACCTTCCGCCTGCCCTCCCCCGAGGAGAAGGTGCGGGCGCGTCAGGAGCTGCTGGCGGGGAAGGCGAAGGAGAAGCTGACGCAGCTGGCCAGGCTGGTGGTGAGTGGGGGTGGGAGTGGGTGGGTATGTCTAGAAAACTGGCCGCGAGTCGGAACGTACTGTGACACCGGTAGGAAGCGGAGCCGAGCCTGTATGGCCGGGGAAGGAAGAGCTGAGGGAGGGGAGGAGATGAGTGGGCATGTGCGTCGCGGCCGGTGAGGGGATGCCGTAGCCTACCTGCGGAAGTTGGTGTTACGGTTCAGCGAGTATGGAGGGAGGGAGGGAGGGAGGGAGGGAGGGAGGGGAGGGCGGGAGGGTTGGGGGAAGAGGAGGGCGGGTTGAGGGGCTCCCAGGGCCGGCGTCTGCGTTGCTTCATCGCATAAAGCTTGGGATCTGACTCGGCTGACCCGGATGTACGGCACTCCATTGCACTCCAGTGCACGCCCCGTTTTGGCCTGTCTGCCTGCCGCGTCTCCACCTCCCCATCCCCGCTCCCCACCTCCACCACTTGACCTCCTGCCCATCCAGACACCCCACCTTGTCACTTAGTTTGCCACTAGCATGCATCGCATAGTTGTTCTGACTCCACCCGCGCCGCCCCTCCCACCCCCGCAGGAGACCTCGGGGGGCGAGTTCATCGCGGGGGGGGACCAGCTGTCGTACGGCGATGTGGCGGTCTTCGTGTGGCTGAGCAACATGGTCTGCGGGCTGCTGGATGGTGGGGTGGTGGGGTGCGGCAGGCTGCGATGTCGGGGTATGCCACGTGATGACTGCCGGTAGACATGATGGTGCAGGCATGCCTAGGCGCGCCCCCCCCATGCACTTCATGGCATGGCTTATGGGCTTCATGCTTCACACCGCCAGCAGTCCCAACCCGCACTTCCCCGCTGCCCCTGCTCACCAAGTTCCGCCCTGCCGCTCCCTCCTGGAATCCTACCGGTTTAGTCCATGTTTGACCCCTCCCTCCCTCGGATGTTGGTTGTCACGTCACAGTTCGCAGTGGTGTCTGAGTCGGGACGCGGGGATTGGAAACTGACGTAAGCTCTTCTCCCTTACCCCCCCCCCCTTCCCCTTCCACCACCACTTTGTCTTGTGGCACCCTGTCGCCTCCTACCCCAATTGCTTTGCCCTAACCTGTGGATTCTTATGGTTTGGTATGATCTTTGACCTACCCCCCTTCCCCTTCCCCTACCTACCATGTTTGCACGCACCCCATGGTGAAGCTTTGCCATACAGCTTCCTCAGTTTCCTCCCTTTACCTCCCCTGCCTTTCCACACTCCTTCCTTCCTCCCCTTTCCACACACCCTCCTTCCTCCCCTTTCCACACACCCTCCTTCCTCCCCTTTCCACACACCCTCCTTCCTCCCCTTTCCACACACCCTCCTTCCTCCCCTTTCCACACACCCTCCTTCCTTCACGTGTATACCGTATCCCATGACCCAGGTGTGCCCCCCACGCTGCTGGACGACTATCCCGCCCTCAAGTCCTTCCGCAACAAGATCGCCAGCATCCCGGAGATCAAGGCATACTACGAGAAGCGCGGACAGGGCGCTCGGGCGGCGTTCAAGCCGGACGCCGCCGCCGCTTGAACCTCACTCTCCCGGAAGGCGTGGAGACAAGCAGCTCGCTGCGGGCTGGAGCTGCATCGGCCTGCATTGGCATGAAGGCGGGGTGGAGTGTTAGCATGCTTCGTTGGATGGGCGCGGGATAGCCTATTATAGCCGTATTGAATGCTGATAGATACGTCGGGGAAGGAGCCTGGGACGGTACTTACAAGGGGGGTGCGGAAGCAACGGGAGACTTTATCGCAGGAGGAGAGGAGCGCCGCTTGTGTATATGTCCGGTATATAGCTGTCGAGAGAGATACGCCTTCCGTGGTCAGTATTGTGCGTCATGTGCTTTAAGACCCATGGGTCATCGCCACTGTTGCCCATTAAGTTGTAGTCCCCATGCATACTTTATACGTAAGCTTTGCTCCTGCAGAAGTCGTTGGTGCCTTGCGGCATATACCATGTGCTGGCTCACAGTTTGGAGGCCGAGAGGGTCGGGACTTACTTCTCTGCGTTGTTGTGGCTGACTTGTTGTGAGCTAAGGAGCCGTGCTGCTGTTACACAGTGTGTGTTTTATTACAAGTGGCAGCGCGAATGTGCTGCAGGGGCAGCGCGGGAGGAGGCTGAAGGAGATTTGGCAGAGAGAATTAGCAGCTTTTCGTTGCGCTTTACGTACTATGCTGTTGCTCTATACGGAGTTGCTGGCGACTTGCCTTACGCCCGTTTATGTTCTCCGGCGGGGGCCTCGCACCTTCACTGGTGGAAAGCTAAACTCGTTGCGGTCCCAAGGCGAATAAGCTAGCGGCTTTGCAGTTGGGCGGGTGTAAAGAGCGCCAAAAACCCGCCTGATGACCCGTGGGTCGCAGTTGCACCACCTGTGCATTCATGTGCAAACCACCTGCATGTTCAAGCATGTTCTAGTGCTGCAACATGCATCCCGCCGCTCCAACAGCACGTCTCATCATCAACCCTGCGCTAGCAATCACATCTGCACTCGCTACAAGCTCAACACCTTACTTGACGCTGCGGCACCAACCGCCACACGGACTAATCCAGTCCGTCCAAATAAGCGTCAGCACGTCTCATCCCGAGCGCTCCGAAGCCCCCGCCTCGGCCCTGCTGCTGGCCTTGAGAAAGGCGTCATGCTCGTCCAGCATCTGGGTCAGCGGGCGGCACATGTCCTGGAACGACTCCTCCGTGTAGCCCTTGGGCGTCGATCCGTGGGCCCGATGCCAGCAGAGCTGGCATTTCTCGCAGCAGAAACGGTACTCTGCTGCCGGCAGCGGCCCTCCGCAGTAATTGCAGTGCCGTGAATGATGCGCATCCATTTGCAGTTGCTTGATAAGGGGCAGATTAGTGAGAAGCAGGATATTTTGTGTGCTGTAGAAGGTATTACCGTAGTAACGCAAATGTTTTTACAAAATAAATAATTATTTGGGGCGGTAAAATTGTGTCAGAAAAAATATCGCCGGTTTTGTAAAAACATTTGAGTTGTCGTGAAAATTACTGCGGAGGATGAGGAGGTGGAGCCGGTCGCTGTGCTGGAGGATGACCCGGAGGAGGACGTGCCTATCATGCAGCTCATGCAGCAGGCGGTGCAGCAGGGGCGTGCAACATTCCAGCAGCAGCAGCTCCCGCGGATTGAGGAGGCGGCTTGACAGCATTAGATCAGCGGGGGTTTGAGGGTTGCCGTGCGTTTGTGTTAGGCATCCTTTGCATGGGTCAGGAACGTTGGGGAATGACGGGCGCTACCGGTGTACCGTACTGGCGGGGTTTCAGCGGCATCCTTCACTGCTACCGTGCGTTTATGTTAGGCATCCTTTGCATGGGTCAGAAACGTTGTGAGGAGTGGTTGGGGAAAATTGCCGGTAAAAAGTTAAGGAACGTGAGGAAATTCCGACGCTTTTGGTAAAATACTTTCAGTTGTAAAAATTACTAAAAAACATTCGCGTTACTACGGTATAAGCGGAAGCGTTAGGAACGGAACCTTACGGAAAAGGAGCAAAGAAACGCGCTAGTCTAGGAGAAGGTCGAGGACTTATGGCGGTCCGTACATCAGGTAAGCGCAGACTTGTTGTCCAGCCACTTCATCAAGGAAATCCTTTAGCATTCAGACGCTATCAGAAGCCGGTTGGCCGTAAAAGGTGGAACGTGGAAATGACTTGTTACGATAGTCAAGTCGAAACAATACAAAAGTGGAAGCCAGCTTGAAGTAACTAGTGCACTGTGAAGGAATAGCGCGCGGTACCTTCACTTATACTGCAAAAGAAGGTAGGGAAGCCAAGTAGGAGGTCTGTCATGTGAGCGGGGGCGAGTGGAAGGGTCATAGCATGTTCAACAGAGAGGGGGAGGAGCGCAGCATGATGGAAGATGAGTGGGGCGTGCAGGACTGGGTACTTGGGTGGGGCGCTGTGCGCAAGCAATCGAGTGGGAGGCACGCCGTGTGAACAAGGGCACCTGTGAGGAGCGCTGTGTGCTGGGGGGCCCTTGGGAGGACCGCCACATGCGGAAGGACGAGTGCAAGGAGCGCCTTGTAGAAGAGGGACAGCGGGAAAAGGGATGTAAGCGGGAGGGTGATTCAGAGGGGTTTCGAGCGCGGGAGAGCACCCCAACTACCGTAACTGGCCTCCTCAACCCATGCACCCGCCGACCTAGCACCCGCCGACCTAGCACCCACCGACCTAGCACCCGCCGACCTAGCACACGCCGACCTAGCACCCGCCGACCTAGCACCCGCCAACCTGGCCCCCGCCGACCTGACACCCACCGACCATGCACCCACCGACCAGGCACCCGCCGACCTAGTCCCCGCCGACCTAGCCCCCGCCGACCTAGCCCCCGCCGACCAGGCCCCCACCGACCTAGCAAGCGCCGACCTGGCCCCCGCCGACCTAGCCCCCGCCGACCAGGCACCCGCCGACCTAACACCCGCCGACCTAGCACCCACCGACCTAGCACCCGCCGACCTAGCCCCCGCCGACCTAGCCCCCGCCGACCTAGCACCCGCCGACCTAGCACCCGCCGACCTAGCACCCGCCGACCTAGCACCCGCCGACCTAGCACCCACCGACCTAGCCCCCGCCGACCTGGCCCCCGCCGACCTAGCCCCCGCCGACCTAGCACCCGCCGACCAGGCACCCGCCGACCTAGCCTCCGCCGACCTAGCTCCCACCGACCTAGCACCCGCCGACCTAGCACCCGCCAACCTGGCACAAGCCGACCTAGCACACGCCGACCTAGCACCCGCCGACCTAGCACCCGCCAACCTGGCCCCCGCCGACCTGACACCCGCCGACCTAGCACCCGCCGACCTTGCACCCACCGACCAAGCACCCGCCGACCAGGCACCCGCCGACCTAGTCCCCGCCGACCTAGCCCCCGCCGATCTAGCCCCCGCCGACCAGGCACCCGCCGACCTAGCACCCGCCGACCTAGCACCCACCGACCTAGCACCCGCCGACCTAGCCCCCGCCGACCTAGCCCCCGCCGACCTAGCACCCGCCGACCAGGCACCCGCCGACCTAGCCTCCGCCGACCTAGCTCCCACCGACCTAGCACCCGCCGACCTAGCACCCGCCAACCTGGCACAAGCCGACCTAGCACCCGCCGACCTAGCACCCGCCGACCTAGCACCCGCCAACCTGGCCCCCGCCGACCTGACACCCGCCGACCTAGCACCCGCCGACCTTGCACCCACCGACCTAGCACCCGCCGACCAGGCACCCGCCGACCTAGTCCCCGCCGACCTAGCCCCCGCCGATCTAGCCCCCGCCGACCAGGCACCCGCCGACCTAGCACCCGCCGACCTAGCACCCACCGACCTAGCACCCGCCGACCTAGCCCCCGCCGACCTAGCCCCCGCCGACCTAGCCCCCGCCGACCTAGCACCCGCCGACCTAGCACCCGCCGACCTAGCACCCGCCGACCTAGCACCCACCGACCTAGCCCCCCACCGACCTAGCACCCACCGACCTGGCACCCGCCGACCTAGCACCCGCCGACCTAGCACCCGCCGACCTAGCACCCGCCAACCTGGCACAAGCCGACCTAGCACACGCCGACCTAGCACCCGCCGACCTAGCACCCGCCAACCTGGCCCCCGCCGACCTGACACCCGCCGACCTAGCACCCGCCGACCTAGCCCCCGCCGACCTAGCCCCCGCCGACCTAGCCCCCACCGACCTGGCCTCCACCGACCTAGCACCCGCCGACCTAGCACCCACCGACCTGGCCCCCGCCGACCTAGCACCCACCGACCTAGCACCCGCCGACCTAGCAACCACTGACCTAGCCCCCGCCGACCTAGCCCCCGCCGACCTAGCCCCCGCCGACCTAGCACCCGCCGACCTAGCCCCCGCCGACCTAGCACCCGCCGACCTAGCCCCCGCCGACCTGGCCCCCGCCGACCTAGCCCCCGCCGACCTAGCACCCGCCGACCAGGCACCCGCCGACCTAGCCTCCGCCACCTAGCTCCCACCGACCTAGCACCCGCCGACCTAGCACCCGCCAACCTGGCACAAGCCGACCTAGCACACGCCGACCTAGCACCCGCCGACCTAGCACCCGCCAACCTGGCCCCCGCCGACCTGACACCCGCCGACCTAGCACCCGCCGACCTTGCACCCACCGACCAAGCACCCGCCGACCAGGCACCCGCCGACCTAGTCCCCGCCGACCTAGCCCCCGCCGACCTAGCCCCCGCCGACCAGGCCCCCACCGACCTAGCACCCGCCGACCTAGCACCCACCGACCTGGCCCCCGCCGACCTAGCACCCACCGACCTAGCACCCGCCGACCTAGCAACCACCGACCTAGCCCCCGCCGACCTAGCCCCCGCCGACCTAGCCCCCGCCGACCTAGCACCCGCCGACCTAGCCCCCGCCGACCTAGCACCCGCCGACCTAGCCCCCGCCGACCTGGCCCCCGCCGACCTAGCCCCCGCCGACCTAGCAACCACTGACCTAGCCCCCGCCGACCTAGCCCCCGCCGACCTAGCCCCCGCCGACCTAGCACCCGCCGACCTAGCCCCCGCCGACCTAGCACCCGCCGACCTAGCCCCCGCCGACCTGGCCCCCGCCGACCTAGCCCCCGCCGACCTAGCACCCGCCGACCAGGCACCCGCCGACCTAGCCTCCGCCACCTAGCTCCCACCGACCTAGCACCCGCCGACCTAGCACCCGCCAACCTGGCACAAGCCGACCTAGCACACGCCGACCTAGCACCCGCCGACCTAGCACCCGCCAACCTGGCCCCCGCCGACCTGACACCCGCCGACCTAGCACCCGCCGACCTTGCACCCACCGACCAAGCACCCGCCGACCAGGCACCCGCCGACCTAGTCCCCGCCGACCTAGCCCCCGCCGACCTAGCCCCCGCCGACCAGGCCCCCACCGACCTAGCACCCGCCGACCTAGCACCCACCGACCTGGCCCCCGCCGACCTAGCACCCACCGACCTAGCACCCGCCGACCTAGCAACCACTGACCTAGCCCCCACCGACCTAGCACCCGCCGACCTAGCCCCCGCCGACCTAGCACCCGCCGACCTAGCACCCGCCGACCTAGCCCCCGCCGACCTAGCCCCCGCCGACCTGGCCCCCGCCGACCTAGCCCCCGCCGACCTAGCCCCCGCCGACCAGGCACCCGCCGACCTAGCCTCCGCCGACCTAGCTCCCACCGACCTAGCACCCGCCGACCTAGCACCCGCCAACCTGGCACAAGCCGACCTAGCACACGCCGACCTAGCACCCGCCGACCTAGCACCGGCCAACCTGGCCCCCGCCGACCTGACAC